CCAAAGACATGGTACCAGGGCAGAGGGGTGGTGGCTGACCAGCACAAATATGGGCACAGGTGACATTGACCATCCTAACATAACATTCATTCAAGATCTTCTTTTTAAACAACTGAAAATGTTCTCATTCTCCTGCTATTCTAGGAAGCCTGTTTACTGACATTGTTTTGCATCTTTCAGCCGACACAGGAAAATCTGAAACCAACTTATCCCTCTGTGTCCGCAAACAATGTTAAACATTCAAGGACCTGCCGCAAACAGTTAACATTCAAGGACCTGCCGCAGTTTTACAAGCCAAGATAAAATCAACACTGTCAGTAACATTTTGCTGTAACTGCATGCATTTGGGATTTCTGATTTGGCACTCGAAAACTACTAAGATTCACACAGTTAGACAAAAATATTGATGCACATATGTGCACTTTTCTCTTTTATAAAATTTGGTTAACCTCTGTGTTAAACCAGCTTCTAGCTACAGCAAACTGTGTTTGGATTCCACTTTCATCTTTCTTTAATATTGAAATTTTGTTATTATGTTCCATCATGGGAGAAGTCATTTGTTAGCCACCTTAACTCTTTGAGTCCGCTTTGAGGAGCGCATTATACGTTCATAGGTTCCTGCCTAGAAGCCCAATAAATGCAAGATGTGCCGATTTTACATCTCTCCTGACTACCCCTTGGGCCTGTGATGTTAAACCCTCTGGAACTCAAAGAGTTAATCAGTAGTATCTGATAGTTAAAAGTATCTGGTAGTTAAAAGTATCTGGTAGTTAAAAGTATCTGGTAATTAAAAGTATCTGATGGTTAAAAGTTTCTGGTAGTTAAAAGTTTCTGGTAGTTAAAAGTATCTGGTAGTTAAAAGTATCTGGTAGTTAAAAGTATCTGGTAGTTAAAAGTTTCTGGTAGTTAAAAGTATCTGATAGTTAAAAGTATCTGGTAGTTAAAAGTATCTGGTAGTTAAAAGTTTCTGGTAGTTAAAAGTTTCTGGTAGTTAAAAGTTTCTGGTAGTTGAAAGTTTCTGGTAGTTAAAAGGATCTGATAGTTAAAAGTATCTGGTAGTTAAAAGTATCTGATAGTTAAAAGTATCTGATAGTTAAAAGTATCTGGTAGTTAAAAGTTTCTGGTAGTTAAAAGTTTCTGATAGTTGAAAGTTTCTGGTAGTTAAAAGGATCTGATAGTTAAAAGTATCTGGTAGTTAAAAGTATCTGATAGTTAAAAGTATCTGGTAGTTAAAAGTTTCTGGTAGTTAAAAGGATCTGATAGTTAAAAGTATCTGGTAGTTGAAAGCATATATTAATATTATTACAAAATACTAGTGTTGAAATATTTGAGATAAACTAGATGGTTTTCTGTTAATAATTTTCATGTGTTATATACCAAATGCATGTTTAATTCCAGATTTATTTTCAAATTTGAAAAGAAAATGTTGATCTTCTTATGATCTGCAGAAAAGATTTCTATCTTTCCATCATGATGGAGAGGAATTGAAAGCAGAGTATAATATATATATATACTTCAGGCACTTTTGTTTCAGTGGCTAACCATGGTGCTAAAGATTTAGATATCTTCTTCAGTTCAGAAAAACATTTCAGAAATGTAAGACGATCATATTCATCAGAGAAAGTAACAATGTATTTTATCAAGCCTAACGCAGAAGTTGATGACAAAGTCAGTGCTGCAGCGGGTGCCCTCACGTTCCATGTTGAGTAAAGTCATGTTTTCAGAAAAATATAAATGAAATATAAGTTACCTGGAATTTAATCCTTTCACTCTGAGAAGCCAAAAATCTAACACTTCCAGTTGGGTCCATTTATGGGTAAATGTCATTTTTCCAACTTGCCTTTAGTGACCTGTTTAGGAGGTAAAGTTAATGCTGTTGACTGCACAGATGTTTAGCAAGTCAGGATATTAATACAGACATTAACTAGCAACAGACAATGTATCCAATTTAATAAGAAAGCGCTGCTGGAACTACATCAGCCATACACTCAGAATAGATAAAACAAGACACCACCCCCCCCCCCCCCCCCCCCCCCCCCCCCCCCCCCCCCATATCAAGCCCTCATATGGACACCGGAAGGAAAAATAAAACGGGGAAGACTGAGAGAGACTCTACTTACAACCATTAACAGCTCAACCATGGGCTTAACAAGCATTCAAGACCTAGAGACCTAGAGCAGATGGCAACAGTGACTGTAATATAAAAATATTTTGTTCTTGCTGATTTTCTCTCAGGAATCCTGACAGTGTAATTATTTTTTTTGTTTAAGTTCCTGGGGTGAAAGGGTTAATGTTAGGAAAAGTGCTCTAATTAGGAAAATCAAAATAAATGGGCCAAAAGACTGCAGTGTTTGTGGCATGTAGTTAAAGTTCAGATACCTTTACATTCCCCTTGGTGCAGCGGGCATATTAGGCTAGACTCATATTTTTTTTAGACCAGTCGACCCTTGATGGGTCGCCTCTCCCCCCCCCCCCCACCCAAAAAAAGTGGGCGATATCTGCAGCAGTGAATCTGAAGGGGTGAGAATTCTGGAGGGTAAAAAAAGAAAAGAATATGTAATAGAATGATGAGCTGCGTTAATGGTATGTGTGGATATGTGTTCCACAGAGCCAGGAAGGGGCACGAGCACCCACAGACATTGATGGGGAAGTCATGTCTGACTCACGCAGGGATCTGCTGCAGATTTTGAGAGAGAAGGAACAGCAAGTAAGTCTCACTCCCCCCATTTTTCTTGCACTTTAACTTTCTCTTGCTGCTGTGGCTTTGATGGATATTTGGGCCTGCTTATTCTTTGAATAGGAATGGCAGTAACACAGTGAAGGTCTTAGGTTCCAATCTACGAAGAGGCTTCAAATAAAAACCTTAAAAGTGTGATAGAAATTTCAGTAATCACGCCATTGTCTTCTAACTTTTCCGTGTTATTTTTACGGGTGTTGAATGTTAAGCCCATGATATTACAGTACCATCATAATCATAGTTTAAAAATGACAGATCCATGTTTGACATATACCAAAGAGGAGCATTGTTCTGTTATCCATTTTGTGATCAGAAAAGGAGTGAAACCTGTAGAAATTCATCGGCAAATGACGATCCATTTTTGTGATGCATGCCTGTCAGTCCAGCAAATATATAAGTGGAGTAGGAAGTTTACAAACAGTTTTATTTCTGTGACAGACTGTTCACGACCAGGTCAGACACGCTAAGTAATTACCCCTCCCCCAACCCCCTGAGCAGATTTCAGCCTTAGGGTGGGGCAGCAATCTTGAAACTTTCATTATGATGTCATCACCTTGGTCTGCACCATGATATGATGTGCTTAACACTCTTGACATCCTTAGCAACAGTAGTGACAGGTTACAAGACAACAGCATGGTTTTGTTGTAATTTCTATCACACTGTAAAGGTTTTCATTTGAGTGGCCCTCATACATCAACACAGATTTCTGAAATTGACCAAGCACTTCAAGATCAACATAGCGTGAAATGGGTACCAGGTAATGTCTTGCAGAGTAAAAGTGACTTGTGACTTGTCCGTGTTGACATCCGAGCACATTGGTCCATCCCATTCCTGCTTTATCCTCTGATGCAGCAGCCATCTCAGCGTCTCCATGCTCAACATACCCAGTAGGAAAGGCCTGGCATATCTTCTTTCTCTTTGCCCCTCATCCAGCTTCTGCATGCTTGTCCTCGTTTAATGCTCATTTCCAACAGGCGTTTCATTGTTTCGTTGTCTCACTGACTCTGGAACACAGCCTATTCAGCATGTCTGCCCTGTCCATACTTGTTCCTCCACAAACCACTGCAGACACGGCCAGTCTGTTGGCTTGTTCATATCCCAGTGTATGCAGCCAAGAAAGGTTGTTGAGGCAGGAATTCTGAATGCTGTCACCCCATTCTAGTTGGAGTTTGCAGAGTAACAAAGACCAGCAAGATGTTGAGCTCATCACCCATCAAGCACTGATTGGTCTAGACAAATGTGAGTCCACCATACAGCCTCATGCAGCAGTTATGTGAAAATAGCATTATTCTGTGATGTGCTGTCTACCTCAGCTGCCATTGTGTTGGCTTCATGGCCAGGAGGTTCCATCACCCAGCCACTGAGTTGAGCACTTGGTGCTGCCCTGAGCTGTTGATTTCAGGTGGACTGGTATTTTTAAATGTTGTGCCCTCGGTGAGTTGTTGACTGCATTAAAATGATGGGTGGCCACTTAAATTGAGAAGAGCATGTACTTCTGCGGGTGCAATGCTGGCTTTCCTGAGTGGCTGTGCTGACAGTGAGCTGCTTTGCTGCAATGGGGCCGTTGGTGTTGGCACAGTTTGCTAGCAACCTATGCATTTTCACTTTATGTGTGCAGGCTTCAAGATTTTGCTGGGACAGATATATATATATATATATATATATATATATATATATATATATATATATATATATATATATATATATATATATATATATATATATATATATATATATATATAGAGAGAGAGAGAGAGAGAGAGAGAGAGAGAGGGAGGGAGGGGGAGAGAGAGGGAGGGAGGGGGGAGGGAGGGAGGGAGGGAGAGGGAGAGAGAGAGACAGCCAGCCAGCCAGCCAGCCAGCCATTTGATATGTTGTATACCTATAAAGTTCAGTATTGGTTCTGTGAACTTGTCTGTATTGACCTGTTTATTAAATTTACAGTTAATGCTATTGGCTGTGTTTACGCCTGTTTATTTTGTGAAGTCAGAGTATGATTATAATAACTAAAAAGTGCCTTAAGGGGGATATTCCTTTTCACCAATTTTTATTGTTTGTTTGAAAGACAGCCTGTGGTATCTTGAGCTGCTAGCGCTGATGAATCTTCTTGTGTCATCTTTTAACCAGTCCCTATGTGTTTCCTTTCTCTTTGGTTCCAAACTGTGTTTGTTTTTTTCTCTTTGCCTGCACAGTTTTTTTAAATTCCTGTTTGTGTTTTCCCCCCACCAACCTGCAAATATATGTAACCTGTGTATATCGTCAGCTGCAAGCCCTGATGAGTCGTCAGGAAGAACTGAACATCCTGCGCGACGAGACAACTAAAAAACTGATGGAAGTCAAAGCCAGAGATAACCTTGGTTGGTTTGTAATTTGTAGCTTGTATGTCAGCTTGAACATCCACATCCTTGATGTCGTCATTCATATTGCTCAACATCCACATTATTCATCCCCACTTTCACATGACTCATCTTTCACATAAATCATCGTTCACATCACTCATCGTTCACATCATTCATCAGCACATTCACATCACTCATCGTTCACATCACTCATCATTCACATTGCTCAACATTCACATTACTTGTCACCACATACAAAACACTCATCCTTCCCATAACTCATCCACACATTCACATCACTCATTGTTCACATCACTCATCATTCACATCCCTCAACATCCACATATTCACACCACTCAGTGCATGTATGCACAGCGACTCAATGAGCATGCTACAGAAGATCAAGGCAGGAAATATACGCAAACAGTGGCTCCATCTGATGAGGCACGCAGCATTTAGCAAAATCAATTTCACCTGACTCATCCACACATTAACATCTCTTCCACACATTTTCACATGACTCATCCACACATTTTCACGTGACTCATCCACACTTTTCACTTGACTCATCCACACATTTTCACGTGACTCATCCACACTTTTCACTTGACTCATCCACACATTTTCACTTGACTCATCCACACATTTTCACGTGACTCATCCACACATTTTCACATGACTCATCTACACATTTTCACATGACTCATCCACACATTTTCACGTGACTCATCCACACATTTTCACGTGACTCATCCACACATTTTCACGTGACTCATCCACACATTTTCACATGCCTCATCCACACATTTTCACGTTATTCATCCACACATTTTCACGTGACTTATCCACACATTCACGTGACTCATCCACACATTCACGTGACATCCACACATTTTCACGTGACTCATCCACACATTTTCACATGACTCATCCACACATTCATGTGAGTCTTCCACACATTCACGTGGCCCATCCACACATTCACGTGACTGTTCCCACACATTCACTTTACTCATCCACACATTCACGTGACTCATCTACACATTAAATTCATTTATCTACACATTAACATATCTCATCCACATCAATTATCCACACATTAACATATCTCATCCACACATTTACATCACTTATCCCCACATTCACATCCCTCTGCATTCACATCCCTCAACATTCACATCACTCACCATTCACAGAACTGCCATGTCATAATTGACAAAATACTAGCTAAACAGATTTAGTGCTACTGTCATGTCTGTAGTCTGTCAGTATATTGTAGAACTCAAGTATTGTTTGATTGTGTTGACTGTATCTTCATCAGCAAGTTCAACCCTGGCCGCTGTCATTGCCAGTAAGCAGTTTATGAGCAGTAGGCCTCAACCCATGCAGGTGCTGGAGACGGCTCTCAGAGCTTCTTCCATGGGAGCCGGTCAAGAGGAGGAGGAGGAAGGGGCTGGAGGAGCCGCTGGACTAGACAGACAGCTCAAGTCTAACATTGTGGCTTACCCAGAATCAGATGATGAGGACAACTCAAAAGTTCTTGGGATGGAAGCTTTGCCAAATAAGCTCATGGAGCTGAAGCGACAGCTCCACTATCTCAAGAATGAGTTTTCTCAGGTGAGGTCTCAGATGAAATTATACCGTTTAAAAAAAAAATGTTTTGTTGTCCTATATCCCCCACCCTCAGATCTGAAGCAACATTTGCACTACATGCTCTTCAAGAAAAAGGCCAATAGACCTAAAAGGGGCAAATCATGGCTGGGTAGGGCAGAGGATGACGACATGCAGGTCTGCAGCCTTACAGATATCCATCCAGGTGAGGAATGGATACCCGTGTCTAAAGCACCCTATCTTACATTCTCCTGTGTCGAGATGCTTGATAGGAGTTGTTGGGAGCAGAATCCCGCTGCAGTCAACACCGAGGTATGCGGGCTTATCAGTGACAGGTTAGATAAGACAGATGTGCTGATCTTGACAGACGGTTCCGTTATATGAGGACATATGAATGCATGGGCATTTACAGCTCGCTCTTCAGGCAGAACAGTTCAAGAAGCCAGTGGTGCCTTCTCCATGACCACCAGCAGCATGACGATGGAGGTGATGGCGGTGACACAAGCTTTCATGTGACTAGAATTACAGGACTATTCCCACGTGTGTGTACTGAGTGATTCTTTGAGCATGATCAGGCGGGTCGAGGCAGGCTGGTTACGCAGACAGTGGTTTGAGTCATTGCAAAACTCTCCTGTGTGTGCAGTTACCTTCATATTTGTCCCAGGGCATGCAAGTGTTGTTAATTAAAGAGCTGACTCGCTCCCAAAGGGCCTCACAACATCCAGCTTGTCATACATCAGTTCACCACCAAGTGGTGCAGAACTGGCCAGTCTATCCGCCTGCTCATTTCCCAACACATGTGGGCAGTTTTATAACAGAGAATATCATATGGCCAGTTTTTTACCTGAGTATATCATTTGGTCAGTGTTATAACTGAATATATCTTATGGCTTGTTTTATAGCTAAGTATATTATGGGATAGTTTTCAGTCTTTGTCACTTACTTTTTCTTACGTCAGTTTTATAGTTGAGTATTTATCTGCTGCTTTCCCTCAGATCAGTGAAGACCCCAATATGGAGACTGATACCCGTGTCTTGGTAGAGGGGCCCCAGCAATTACAAAATAAGCTTCATGAGCTGCAGAACAAGAAACTGCAATTAGACATGAGGCTGCATGAGTTGCAGCTGATACACTCTCCTTCCAGTGATAACTCCAAGAATAATGGTAAGCCTTCTTCTTCTCATCCTTCTTCACCCTTTTATATCTTTTATTCCTCATAGTCACTGCAGAGGTACCCTGGGATAGCAGCTACATTACAAGATTGAGCATGGGTGGAAATGGTCCCTATGCTCTGAAATCGATTGTGATAAATAAATACCAAGTCGTTCTATTGTGTGCTATAATGTGCAGTATGTCGATTTTGGACTCTTTTTATTTCTATAGTTCTGTGGCTTCCAGTGCAAGGATAGTCATTTTATAATTATATTTTATTGGTGTGTATCATATCTGTTGCTAGCAAATGGTAAACCTGGTTAAATTGTGCACTCTCAGAACTGTTTGTGCCAACCGGCTTTGGACTGGTTTTTCCGATCCTCTTTCAAGACTTATGTTGGTAAAGGATCTCGGAGTTGGTAACCTCAAGAGATGTAGTGTCCAGTCTGTATCTTATCAGCCCACCCCCAATGTATGGGAGAACACTTCTATCAAAACTCATCAGAAATGTTGAATTAGGAGTCGACATCACAACACTCGGGACACTCCCATAAGTGCTCAGTCCCCATCTTCAGCAGCAGGTGAAGAGTTCAAATGCCGATGGTACCAATAACGGTCTGATTGTATACCCGTCTCATCCTTTCCCTGAGTGTTGAGCGCCGGCCAGATTCCCTTGTAACTCCTCGCAGCGCCATTCTTCTCAGACCTTAATGATCTATCTGTGCCTCTGCACTGTTCACTCACTCCCAAAGAGCCCTCACAATATCTAACTTGTCAAACATCAGTTCACCACTAAGTGGTGCAGAGCCAGTCAGTCTATCTGCCTGCTCATTTCCCAGCACACCAGCATTACCTGGAGAAAATTTCCAAAGGATGCTAACTACTCGGGACCTCTGAAGTGATACTTGCCACTCTGCACGAAGCATGCCTGTTTTCACCTTTCTCAACATGCTCTGTGAGTCAGTTACAATCACGGCATGTGTGTACAACTGATTCTGAAGCCAGTGGAAATCAGCAGAGACTGTCTCCACCTCCATTCTCAAACTAGATGTTGTGATATCATATGCAAGGCTTTGCTGCACTAGGCGATGTCCATTCGCCTTTGCTATGAAACCCCATGCACTTCGTCTGCCCCTCAACACAGAGGTAATCACATCACTTGGGTGGGAATTGTCATGAATCATTTGTTGAACTTTTGATTCTGCAGCGCCAGCTGGCCAGTCTCTGCACTCACGACCTAACGTGATTAGAACCCTACACAAGTCTGAAACTTGTTCAGACATCTTGACCCACTTCTCTCCTCGCTCAAAATTATCAAGCCTGCACACATGTCCAATTGTGTCTTCAGATTGCGCCATCGAAGACTTTCCTCTTTTTAGTCTGTGACCCTTAGCTCTGTCCGGGGCTTCATGCAGGAGGTGCTTCTTGTCCGCAGCTACTCTGAGATATGACTTTGCTTGCAGAACTTTGAGCTTATCTGCAATAGAAAGCAGTGCAAGTATATATTGCATACATACTACCGGGGTATTTCTTGTACATCCCAGAATTACCCACATGGCTTCATTCTGTATGCGTTCGAGTTTTATCAGTTGACTCATTGATATGGTAAGCATTCCAAGTCCATAATCTATCACCGACAGGATCACATGCTGGAACATTGTGTTCAGCATTCTTTGTTCCATGTCTATTGCTGCCATAATCTTGAGAGCATTGAGTCCTTTTTGGCATTTCACCACAACTGCCTCCACGTGATCCCTGAAGGACAGGCTTCTATCAAAAGTGATACCCACGTACCTCAGTTTCTTTTCTCTTTTGATGTTACTTTTGATTAACTGTGAGGCTTGGAACATCAGCATTAGGAACATGGGTAAAATCCGCTAGCCCAAGATACTATTGACAGTTCTCTGTTAAAGGGTCTTTCAAGTGGAAGAATTACTGAACTGCTGAGATTCATCCTTATAACAAGAGACTGACGAGCAACATCTCTTGTGGGCGGTAACTCACAGAACAGCTGTCTCCCTAATCCTTTGTTGTCCTTCAACAACAACCTGCCGTGACAATCTGCTACTGTTAAGTCAGCTGATGTGGCACCAATGTCTGCCAGACATGTGTCCTATGGCACAGCAACAAAGTCCTGAATGTCTGACCGTAAAAAGTCCAACTGTTTAGCAGAAAAATTCAAATGTCTGTTACCATTGGCCCCACTCACCAGAGTGTCAGAACCAAGAAAGGGAAAGCCATGCCGGATGCATGTCTTTGCCCTAGTGTCTTGCTAGGTTTCCAGATGAAACAACATTAAAGGTGCCTAATGTGCTGAAGAAAAATGGTACCTATTTGTATGATCATCAAAGTCACGGACCTGCAGCTGCTCCCTGCTTATTAGCGGAGGGCGCAGGCCATGACGAGTGGAAAGCTCAGCATATGGATTTGAGGTTAAACGGTCATATGCAAGTCGTGACGATTCCTTGGGTGAGCCCAGGACCAGAAAGAACATCATGTGTCTGCATTTATGGAAGCCTCCTGCGAATGTCCATGATCTGCCCCTGCTTTCCCTTGAAAGCCGATCTGTCTACATGCAGATGCTCTGGACAGGCTCTCCATAGGCCGCACCTGTAGATAGGGGGACAAAGAAAACACACAAATAAGGATACGCCATGTCCCTCGAAACTGTCCGGCAAGTTAACCCGGTCAACAAATTCTAGTTAAAAGTGTCGGCTGAAAGGCAAGATATTGTAGCTCTGCTGTAAAGAGGCATAACAAAAAGATGAAGAACTGTTTTGTTATCACTGTTATTAGCATCTGGTGTGTTTTATATTTTATTGTTGATTGCTGATGAAGGCAGTGTCATGTTTATTTATTGTGATGTGTTCTGTAAAGCTGTCATTTATTGTATATTTTTCTGTTTTTATGTGTTTTAAATCTGTGTGTTGTAGAAACAAGTGCACAAATCACCGCCTTCAGTCCCATTGGCCCGGCAACATCCCACATCCCAGCCACTGTGCATAATCAGCAGCAGCAACAACAGCAGACAGTAAACAAACCAGCAGTCAGCAGCGGATCCTCGTCTGTGAGCCTGCCCTCCAACCTGCAGACACAGGCCAATGCTTTGACATCTTTTGCAGACCTGACAGGATGGTCGGAGTTTGGTCAGGATCCTGGAGCCAACTTGATGCCGGAGATGATGCAGGAACTGCAGGAGAAGTTAAGGTGTGTGGTTCTGATACTCTTCTTTCAAATTCTCAAATATAACGACTTCACTTGCTTTATGTCATATTTGTACAACTTGTTTTTGTTTTTTCCCCATTATTTTTGTATTGATTTTCATTATTTTTATTTTTGTTGTTGATTTTGATTATTGATTTTTAGCACCAGTGATGTTATTTGTGGTGATTGCAATCTAACAAGATCATCAAACAGTTTGTTCTGCTTCTCACTCTTCTTCTGTTTAGCTTTTGTCGACTGTTAACTCTGGTGGAAAGTTCTGGGTGTTTGACCACTTCTGGAGTTTGGAGAGCAGTCCATCTAGGAGATGGCAAACTCCGAATATAAACCCCCAAGTTCAAGGTGTTCCAACGTCCTGAGGAACTGGATGGCCACGGGTGAGCTGGTCGTGAACGTTAAAAGTCTAACGGGCGTGCGGGGCTGCACCAGGCGTATGGACATCCATTGCCCCTTCCCTAGCAGCAGGCAATACTAGGCTGACCGGTTATTTCCGGCAGTACTCTTTTTTTCGCATATGGATTTAAAAAATATACATAGGAATCGTCGCCGAGGCTAGAGAGCACGTGCTCTGCGCTTGACACATTTTTCAGCAGTTCGTGAAGAGAGAGTGAGGAGACGATGAGGGAATGGGGAGAGAAGAAGGCATAGAAATCTTTACAAGATCACACATCCCACTGAGTTGTGCAATATTTTTCTCATTTCTGTTGTCTGAAATTTGTCTTTTAATTCTGTGTGTATGAAATCAAGGTGTCTGAACGAAGTTCGAGAGCAGCTGAACCAGTTAAAAAGTTCTGTGCAGTTCAGTGAGATTGAGCACGCTGAATTAGAAGCTGTTGCCGACATAAATGATAGACGGCCAGCTGCTGAGAAGGAACGCAGAGGAGATGCTAGTCGGTAAGCGGAGATATTCTTCTTTTTATTTCTTCTTTTTCTTCTTGTCCTCTTCCTCCTTATTTCTTCTCCTGCCTTATTCTGCTTCTTCTCTTCTACTTCTCCTCCTTCTCCTCCTCTTCTTCTTTTCCTCCTCCTCTGTATTCTCCTCCTCCTTATGAATTTCATGTCTTGGGGATAAGATACAAATAACTGAGTTTCAGTTGGATTCTATATTATTATGTGACCATCCGTTGTGAAGTTGTTGTGTATGCACGCAAGTGTGTGAGAGAGAGTGAGAGAGATATTTTCCACCTCATCGCTTGGCTGTTGAGAGTATGCATGCGCAGCTATCATTGCAGTACTAGTAACACATGTTACAGTTTCTGCATGGTGGCGTAACCATGCAGCAAGCATTCTTGTTGCTATGTTCGGATTGTAAACCGAGTAGATTTGTAATAAGTAGTAAACAGTAATAATAAATAATGAAATAATTTTTCTTTGATGGTGTAAAATGTAAGCGTTGATTACAGCTGTTAGGTGCACGTCTCGCCAGTGTATATGTCAACCCGACGTACATATCAACTTTAAGATGTTTAGCTCAGAATTATAAGTTTGGCCTATACCCAGCGTATAAGTCTACCTCTAGTTTTGAACAGATGTTTTAGGCTTAAAAACTTGATGTATATGCCACAATTTATGGTAAGTAACTATATTAACATCAGTTCTTTTCTCTTTACACACCAACTAGTACCACAGCACAGAGTTCCACCTTCCAGCTGCAAGAGAAAGATCAGTACGGGTCTCTCAAGCAGCAGCCTCAGCAGCAACTCAAGCAGCAGCCTCAGCAACAAAAGTCACAGCAGAGACTCCGCCAGCCACCGCAGAAACCACCACAGTCGCAGCAGAAACCACCACAGTTGCAGCAGAAACCACGACAGCCGCAGCAGAAACCACCACAGTTGCAGCAGAAACCACCACAGTCACAACAGAAACCACCACAATTACAACAGAAACCTCCACAGTTGCAGCAGAAAGTACCACAGTCACACCAGAAACCACCACAGTCGCAGCCGAAGCTGTCAGGAAATCGGTATCCCCAGCAGCATGATGAGGTTGTGGCAGCTGCCTCTCCCCGGAATATGACTCAGCTGTTGAATCTTGAAGGTCAGTTTGGATTGTGTGACAATGTATGTTTGGGAGCTGTCACAAAATATGATTCAGCTGTTGAATCTTAAAGGTCATTTTGGATTGTGGGACATGTTTTCTGGCCATCACAAAATAGGTTGTAGCTGTTGTTGAAAAGTGCAAGAGGAAGATTTTTACAAATGAAAATGACATGGCCCTGAGGTCTCCCCAGTCTATGGTGGGTACCAGGTAATGTCCAAACATGAACATTGACAACAAAGGACAAAATAAAAATAAAAATAGAAATGAAATGTCTATGGCGAATCCTAAATGTAACTTGAAGAGACAGAATCAGAAATGACAATAGCAGGAAAGAACCAGTATAAAACTTTATCAAGAGACAGCAGATTAAATGGTTTGGTCTTGTGTCAACACTACCACCAGATGGTGTACCACAGAGAGCCCTGTTACTTAGACGTAATGGAAGCTGAATCAGAGGTGACAACGTAAGCAGTGGATAGATGGAATAGCTGAGGCCACATACCAGCACCTACATAGCACATACCAGGGCTCTCACCTGATGCCTCTTCATAACCTGATGCTGAACGGCATTACAGCACTAGAGAAAAAAGAAGGTAATGCCCTGGCAGGTGAAATCATCCAGCTCTGTGTTGACCCCATCAAGTGCCGATCATGCTGTACAATTCTAGGTCTATCACTATGTGCTTCATGCTCCAAACGTAAGGAAAAGGTTCCTTTACATTACAAAATATGTAAGCTCCTTCATATCAGGAAATAAGGAGTGAGGTCATATGAGAAAATGTCGACACAGAAACAATTTTTAATGACATGCACAGAAAACACACCAGATGGTTTCCCCATGTAGCGAATGCCTTGTGATGCCATAAAGCTCATACACAAAAAAGAGGAGAAGGATGTAGAGCACAATATAGATCAAGAACAAGATAGAAAGATAACATCACAGAAACTCTACAACACTATCATGTGTCTATGGCCTAGGCGGCCAGAGGAGCAAGAAGCACAACCTGGTATCTCCTCTATCCATACCCAAAGTGGTATAGAACAGAACCTACAGAAGAAGAAAAATCTAATCTTTTCCCACTTGCTTCTTTGATGTGTATTTCAGCAGTTCCCAGCTAACCTTGACTGTTTTCCTTGACACAGGGACAGATCCTGGAGATGAGCTTTCGGACGAAGACAATGTTTCTGCATCCAAGTCGGGGTCTGTGTGGTCGGTGCTGGGGTCTTGGGATCATGATCCCCAAGTACAGGAGAAAGTCAGGTGTGTTGCTGATTGTTAACATATCTCATTGTAAACAGTCAGACTGGATGATTGGTGGCACCCAGACAGAGGGTAATTTGTGTGTGACATGTCTGAATGGCAGCCAGAGTGGGGGATTGTTGGTACTTGAAGTGGGTGATTAACACCTAGATTGGATGATTGTTAACCTCTGTGGTGAGTGATTAATTAACATCTAGACTGGGGGATTAACAGAAGATTTATTGAATTTTGTATGCAAAAAATTTGTTTGAAATATTTACGAAGTATTGAAGGATGGAATTACGTATTAAATGCTTTACGTTATTGCCATCTGTGTAGAAAATTGAAATCTGCTGAAGAGAATCTACGCCAGCTTCAGGATCTGGTCTCCTTCGTCCAACAGTCTCCAGATGGAGCAGTAGGTGTCCCTAAAGAGCAGGCAGGCAGGGCATCAAGTGGGGATGTCTCTCGTGCTACTGGGACGTATGATTTGAATGTTTCTGTCAGTGAAGGAGAGCTGCCATCAGAGTCTTTGAAGATCCTACAGAGGTAAGCTCTCATTCTGTAACTCTTAACCAAATTATTATGAGGGTGCTTCATCTTTGGTGTATTTCCATATTGGGATGGCCATCTTTAAATTGTTCTAATAACATCACCATGTTAGTCTGCACCTTGATGTAACATGCTGAACACTCTTGACATCCTTAAGATAGAACCCTGCTAAAAAAGTGTTGGCATTTTTTAAAATACTGATGTGCTTTTTCTCAAATGTAAGGGTAAAATTAACCCCTGTTTATTTCCTTTAAGCGTGGGAAACTTCAAAATATGTAGTAGCTCAGTAGAAAGGGTAACAAAATGCTGCTTCACTTATCAGTATCAGAGTCTAGTGTATGCAGTTATGGGACGGTGTATAATAGAGACGGTCCATTGTTTGTACGTGCATGACAGACAGGTGAGGGTCCATGTGTGTACTCGGATGACTGATAGGTGAACCACGGTTCAGCCTGACAAATTTACGACAGCGATAAAGTGTGACTGACTTAATCGCTTCACTTGCATGTCCATGGGTCCTGCATGGACTTGCCTGAGCTGTCGGGTTGTGACATAAGCCACGGGGAAAATTGGATAAAGGTAGTCAGACATCGGACGTGAGACAGGACACATCTGATAGAGTGACGGTTTAGAATTCTAGCATGATGTAGTTATATTCTAGTGACCGATAGCTTGTGATAATGTGTTTTGTTAGTGTATTGTAGTCCCTCTGTTTTATAGCATGTGAAGGCAGCAGTGTTCTGTATAATGAGTCGCTTCAGTAGTTTTGATGTATTCTGATAGCCAGTGTTGTTGTTTGTGTGTGGACTGGCTGTTGTTATATTGTCTATTCCTGCACACTGTACCTTACACTTTGCAGTCACTGGGTGATCCTGGTGGAGTCCAGTGGCATAGGAAAAGATCTTATCAGGAGCAGTGTTGGTTTGGACCTGAGTATTATCCATGGGGATGGGAAGGCATGCGTGGTGATTTGTAAAGCCATCACGGCCTGCATTTCGGGTAAAGGTACCCGCATCTCCTAACATCAGCTGCCTCATCTTAGTCTGTGCTTTACAGTAAAGATTGTTGTGTGTGGTCAGTGGGTGTTCAGTTTAGTGTGTTTTTGGATAGATTGTCGCAGGCTCATACAACGAGTCACTTACCATCATGGTAGATCAGAGGTCTGTGTTAATCAGCAGCGCGGAAGTAACTGAACAACCAATTTTCAATTGTAAAAATTAAATTGCCAGAGCACTGTCTGTCCAATCATCATAGCAGAAGTACTTACAGTTGATTTATCCTCATGGATTTAGGTCTACTATTTATTTTTTAATCAGGCACTGTAATGTGTGCAGTCAAAAGAGTTTGTTGTGTGAACTGAATTAAGATACACGAAACAGACTTTCAAATGATATCACACTTAGATATAGTTCTATAAATGGAAATCTTTTCGTTGAAATCAAAACAATTGAATAGGCAGTTTATAGCACTGTGACATATTTAAGTGATAGTGCATCATTAGTAATACAGTTATTTGAAAACCTTGGTGTGTCCAGTACATTTTTCAAGAAGAAAACATGCAAACAGAAAGATGCAAATCACACGAACTCATCCTACACTGAAGCCTCCAAAGAAACTCAGATGAAATGAAGAAGCCTTAGAGCTGTCAAGAAAGCCTTCCTAGATTAGCACATACACAGGATGTTTCAAATGTATAGAATTTAAAATCAGAATGTTTCAAATGTATAGAATGTAAAATCCAGATGTTTTAAATGTATATAGTGTAAAATCAGAATGTTTCAAATGTATAGAATGTAAAATCAGAATGTTTCAAATGTATAGAATGCAAAATCAAAATGTTTCAAATGTAAAGAGTGTAAAATCAGAATGTTTCAAATGTATAGAATGTAAAATCAGAAAGTTTCAAATGTATAGAATGTAAAATCAGAATGTTTCAAATGTATAGAATGTAAAATCAGAATGTTTCAAATAAAAAGAATATAAAATCAGAATGTTTCAAATGTATAGAATGTAAAATCAGAATGTTTCAAATAAATATAATATAAAATCAGAATGTTTCAAATGTATAGAATGTAAAATCAGAATGTTTCAAAAAATAGAATATAAAATCAGAATGTTTCAAATGTATAGAGTGTAAAATCAGAATGTTTAAAATGTATAGAGTGTAAAATCAGAATGTTTCAAACAAATAGAATATAAAATCAGAATGTTTCAAATGTATAGAGTGTAAAATCAGAATGTTTCAAATAAATAGAATATAAAATCAGAATGTTTCAAATGTATAGAGTGTAAAATTAGAATGTTTCAAATAAATAGAATATAAAATCAGAATGTTTCAAATGTATAGAGTGTAAAATCAGAATGTTTCATATGTATAGAGTGTAAAATCAGAATGTTTCAAGTGTATAGAATGTAAAATCAGAATGTTTCAAATGTATAGAGTGTAAAATCAGAATGTTTCATATGTATAGAGTGTAAAATCAGAATGTTTCAAGTGTATAGAATGTAAAATCAGAATGTTTCAAATGTACATAATGTGATATCAGAATGTTTAAAATGTATAGAGTGTAAAATCAGAATGTTTCATATGTATAGAATGTACAGTCAGAATGTTTCAAATGTATAAAATGTAAAATCTGAATGTTAAAAATGTGAAGAGGAAGAGAACATGAAAATGTGAATGGTAAAACAAATACGTTAGTGGGGAAGCTTGAGGACACACACAAAATGTTGTATGAACTAAAACCTTTGTTAATGTTGATGTCTGAAAACAAATGAAGATTTAAAAGTTCTCTTTGTAAAAAAAAAAAAAAAACCTTTGTGGATGTGTGGAAATTGACAAAAGAAAAAAGGTATGAATATTTTCTGGGAAACTAAGTCTTTGTTAGTATGGAGGTTTGAGGGCAGATAAAGAAAAACATGGGGAAATGTCTTCAAGACAGCTACGCCTGTCTTTTGTTTCAGGGATGACAGTGGGGAAGAAGTGGAAGACCCTGCAGCAGAACTAGAGAAGCTGCGACGGGAGAGAAATTTGCTGATGGACCTACAGACCCAGCTACAACATATACAGAGTCAGGTTAGGACAGTCATCTCATGTCAGTGTTAGGACAGTCATCTCATATCAGTCTTGGGACAGTCATCTCATGTCAGTGTTGGGACAGTCATCTTATTTCAGTGTTGGGACAGTAATCTCATGTCAATGTTGGGACAGTCATCTTATGTCAGTGTTGGGACAGTCATCTCATGTCAGTGTTGGGACAGTCATCTCATGTCAGTGTTGGGTAAGTCATTTTATGTCAGTGTTGGGACAGTCATCTCATGTTGTCAGTTTTAGGAGTAATGTCAATGTTGAGACAGTCATGTTAGTGTTAGGACAGTCATATCATATTAGTTTAGGGATAGTTATCTCAGTGTTGGGACAGTCACCTGATGTCAGTGTTAGGACAGCCATGTTAGTGTTTGGAAGTTTGTATTAGTGCTAAGACAAACATGTCACTTTTAGGACAATAAAGACAAACATGTCACCTTTAGGACAATGATGCTGTTGTCAGGACAATCATCTGAAATCAATTATAGGCCATCTCTTGCAGGACAGTCATTTTTTGGGAGGTTATTTTGTTGTTGTGTGTGAACTATTCAGCTCTTGTTAGTAATAAAACTGTAACATATGTGAGTGTTTGGAAAGTCAGTTTCAGGACAGTAAGTTATGTTAGATAGTGTTGAGACAGTTCATGTTAGCACAGTAGATTCTCCTCTTCCGTCTCCTTGTCTACTTCCATTTAACTCTTTTGTGTACAGTTTATATCTCTCTGTTGTCTGCTATTCTCCCTGTATATCCCGACCATTGTTGTCTTGCATCCTTCCTAATGCTAGTAATTAATGGTGATTTCAACATATCAGGAATTTTGTTGTTGCTTCTGTTGTCTCCATTCTCTAGTCTTTGCTTCTGTGATGAGTGTTGTTATAAAAGTTAATGGTTTTAATGTTAGGACCTCAGACTTGTTTTAGGACACAAACTCGTGTTGAGAAATAAAGAGGGAGCTACAGACATTATTTTAATGTGTATTTTTGTTGTTGTTCTTTGTTTTGTTTAGACATCTGGACCCAGCAGTGGGGAGGAGCGGGTCAGGACCCGGCCGGAATCTAGTAGAGAGAAGTCTAGGTTGGAACAGGTTTCCAGTACCCCAGTAGTCACATGTAAGTCGTTGCCACATGTAAGTGTGGTTGACACCTGTAAACATGGTTGTCACATGTAAGTGTGATTCTCACATGTAAGCAGGGTTGTCACATTTGAGTATGGTTGTCAGCGTAAATGTGGTGGTCAGTGTACATGTAGTTGTCAATGTACATATGGTTGTCACCTGTAAGTGTAGTTGTTATATGTACGTGTGGTTATTACATCTACGTGTGGTTGTCACATGTAAGTTATTTTGTCACATGTAATTGGTTGTAATGTATAAGTTTAGTTGTGACATGTAAGTTAGATTGTCACATTGACACATGTAAGTGTGGTTGTTACTTATTAGTATGGTCACATGTCAGTGGTTGTTACATGTAAACGAGGTTGTCAGTTGTGAGGCTGTCACACCATGTAAGTGAGGTTGTCACCTGTAAATGTGGTTGTCAGTGTATGAGTGGTTGTCAGAGTATGAGTGGTTGACAGTTTCATTATGTCTCTGTGTCTCTGCTTATCTGTCTGTGGCTGTCTTACCTCTATCCTCTTTTTCTTTCTTTCTTTTCTCTCTCTCTCTCTCTCTCTCTCTCTCTCTCTCTCTCTCTCTCTCTCTCTCTCTCTCTCTCTCTCTCTCTCTCTCTCTCTTACTCTCTCTTTCCTTCTGTTTGTTTGTTACTCCATCTCTCTGTTTTACCTATTTTAATTCCTAAAATCTAATCTTCTCTCACCTTCCCTTGCCCCATGCTTTTTCTCTGTCCATGCCTTCTTTCTCTGAGTTATGCTCTTCTGCTGTGTCTTGATGTTATATATTCACAGTCCTTGAGGTGTCAAATACAACACAGCTATATTTAATTTTATTATTTAAAAAAAAAATGTTTTTTTTTTCTCCAATTTATGGACCCCCCCCCACCCCCTCCCGTACACCTTCTTACTTATTTTGGTTTGTAATATAGCCATTCATGTCCATATTTCTTATTCCCCATTATGTATTTCTTGGTTTCATGTTGACCTCAAATGTTTGCAAGTTCTGTTGTCTCGTCCGTCGAGTTTTCCAGTCACAGTTTGTGTTGTATTTAGTACTCCGTTGATAAAGACTGTGGTAAAAACGCTCGGTTGTATTTGTGCGTGTCGATTTCATTCCCTCTTTCACTTTCTGGTCACATTCTATGTTGTATTGAGTGCTTATTGCTATGATGTTGATCTCATTTGTATATTGTGTGTGTGTGTGTTCCAGTTGCCTCAAATGATGAGCTGTACAGTAAAATACGCCGACAGAGGATACTGCATGAGGAGTTGAGGTCCAAGAAAAGGGAACTGGAAGCTATTATGAAGAAAGACCACAACAGGAGACAGTACTCTCGTAATCAGGATAATCAAAGTGATTCCGTCTCCTTGACTACGGATATGTTCGGGTTAGTTTGTTGTCCTTATGGTAGCTCTGCGTCTGTAAATTCAGGTGTGTTGGAAAAGGAAGGGGCAGACAGATTAGCTGAGGCTATACCACCTGGTGGTGACTTGATGCATGACAAGCTAGATACGGTCACAGTCCTTTGGGAGCAAGTTAGCAATACAAAAGTGTGAATAGATCGTTCTGTTGACAGAATGATGAAGTCGGAGTCACCACAGAATCTGACTGACACTCTAGATTCAGAAGAAGGGCAAGATGGACATTTCAGACTGCCACTGGTGTTATTGAAATTGGAACTCTTCAGTGGCTGCTGTCACCAAATGAGTTCTGGGTCACCATTTGAGGAAAAAAAGGGGGGAGGTGGGAATAGAAAGCCCCCTCCACCAAAGCAAGTATGTTATAAAAAGCTACTGATTAGAAGTGTATCCTTCAGAATCTGAATGCATAACCTGAGAGATGAGGGACCAAGAGTCTGCATACACATAATCCAGATCTGGAAAATGGATGTGTACTCAAAACTCAAATACTGTAACATGACTGCTCACTGCCAGCTAAATCTTGTCTTTCCAGGTATGGGAACTGTGTTCTGCTGTACCTTCCACTTGATCACAGAGAGCATTCACCATGTCACCATATTAAAAAGTAGCTAACTGTAGAGGAGCAGCAGCAGCAGCTAGTCTGTCAGCCTGCTCATTATTCATCACACCTAGTTGTCTTGGGCAAATGTCTGTCTCATGGCATAAGATACCCTGTGTGGGTACCAGGGCCCCATTTTGAAGCATTGACTTAGAAATACCTATAAATAAAGCCATTATTTTTAAAAGCCCCCCCCCCCCCCCCCCCCCCCCTTCCTCCGAACTTTCCCCCCTGCCAAATGCTGTTTTTAGTCAGTGTAGTCATCCCCTGTCACACCGATTCAGATGCAATATATTTTGTCAGCTAGACATCTCATAAATCTATCTGTAAAAGCTAGTCAGGAACTTGTAGGCGGAACTGGTATCAACCCGAAGAGTCGGCTTGTAGGCAGAACTGGTATCAACCCGAAGAGTCTGTTTTGTGGCTTCTCAAAGAAAACAGTTATGAGCCAACACAGAGGAGGAGGAAGAAGAAGAAGAATGGTGTAGGACACTGGTCTTGGATAATTTCTTTAGTAGCACAGCTGTAATCTGCTCTATATTGAGGTATTGTGTGATTTTTTTTTTGGGTCATTACTTGGATGATGAGTCTTCAACTGTAGACACGTGTCTTCTTGCCAGAGCTGCAGCCAGTGTTGATGCAACCATGGCCACCTGGGGAGGCTCCACAGCTGACAACCTGGAGAATATCACAGAGGATGAAGACGGGCAAGACAGAGACAGCAGTAATCATAGAGAAGAGGACCAAGAAAATGAAGGTAAGACTGCTGCAGTTACTGTAGAACTTCTATACTGCTCAACTTATGGAGGTGGTCAACTTATGGAGGTTGTCAACTTATGGAGGTGGTCAACATATGGTGGTGTTCAAGTTATGGAGTCTGACCTATTGTAGTGCCTCTGTACTTCCTTGAACAACTTATATTAGAGAGCAAATGAATAAGTGAATCAAGAATTAACATCAGTGCACTCGGGACATTCCCACACTTGCTCTGTCCCCTTCTTTAGTAGCCAAGAAGAGTAGACATGCTTATAGTACCAGTTGGAATATGATTAAAAGTCCGCCTTTGTTTCCCTCTCTTAGCTGAAAATTTTCCAGAACCTCTACTCAGGCTTGGTCCCTATCTTGTTCTGATTACAATAGTTTGTAAGGGAACTTGTCCCGGTTGTAACAGAATGGGTCATAGCTTGTTTGTTAGTAGGCACAAAGCTAGGATATAAGGAAATCAACAAGTTTTGGCAACCTTGACATTCCCTTTTCCAGAATCTTCTTTTCTCGCCAAAACTAGCTGTTGACATCAAACTGATGTTGTCTGGCCTTTGGCCTTCTTTCTAGAAGTTTTGAAATGCGTTCTTCTCATCATGTGACCCAGCCCTGTCGTACTAGTAAATACTTTGTTGTCGTGCCCTATCAAAGCAAACGCAATTGTACTTGTTTTCCTAGAAGCTTCTATTGATGTCAGTTTAACTACCATATTTGTGTAGAATAGGATGATGAAATCTGATGCAATCGAGATATTTTTAGAAAATCCCACGTGAGAACCCCTAGTAAACAAGTTGAGGTGTACTAGAATATTCTAGAAGCAGACAAAGCGAGAAGAAAACAAATATCTAGCATTCCAACATCCAAGTATAAATAGCGAGTAACAAAGCACTTTAGCAATTCTTCAGTCCACAAGACTCAAGAGAGGAGAGACCAGTCACATGGGCTCCCAAGACAGCCTTCAGTGGTAGAGATGTTAGCCCAACACTAGAAGCCTTCAGTCGTTGAGACTCAGAGAACGATCGACTAGTCTCAATGATCCTTGATGCAAGCTCAACACTGGAAGCAGAGCAGCCGTTCATATTGAACCTAGAAGACAGTCACTGGAGAGCAGACATGAAACGAGACATCGAGCTACAGAGACGACACACAAGATATACATGGATCCATGGTCAACAGAGACACATTAGGAACACTACAGAGATGTTAGAGTCGAAGATCAAGCCGTTAGTACCAACACTACTAGAAGCCAGGTGGCAGTTAGAGACACTAGAACCAGTTTAACAAAGTAACTAGAGATGAAGAACACAACGCGAACCTACGAGTATTTAGCCATAGAGATAACTTAGCGCTATTCAGAATATCATTTGATGTTATTTGTGACATTGTTGGAGTATCACAATAAAGACAGTATAGACAAGAATAGTTGTTTCCAGACACCTTATTATACAAGCAGAGTCACGTGAGAATCATGCAGCTATGCAAGACATCATCATCATCATCGCCACTATCGACACGACCATCTTTTCCTCGTCTATAATCTTCCAATCGACTCCTCCTGTAGCAAACCTAAACACGAACCTGGGTGTGACATCAACGTACGCCACAAAGTAGAGAGCTGTGCTACATAGTGTCCCCCAACCCCCCCCCCCCCCCCCCCTCCAAACCATGTATAGAGGCAGGTATGCCAGAAGCTGGAGGCTGAGGCCACTTGAGAGGCATATATATGAGGCATGGGAGTAGACCAGGTGTGAATATTCTTGTCACAAGACTGTCGTATGTCAGCTCTTCTTCTTCTTCTTCTTTTTCTTCTTCTTCTTTTTCGTTCAACAGCCGTAAACTCTCGTAGAAAGTTCTGGTTGTTTGATAGATCCTAAGAGCTATATACTACCAGTCCTGATGTATGGAAATCAATCATCAACAATCAGCTAATAGATGAAAACAGTATATAAAAACAATAGATATCTTCTTCTTCTTCGTAGCATTCACTGGCTGTAAACTCTGATGGAAAGTTCTGGTTGCTCATACATTTCTGGACTGATGTTCCAAAACGCCCAAGTCCATTTTACACATCTAACTTTAAAAAAAAATGTAGTTTGTTGGTCTCTCACCTCTCAGACAGATGTGTTTCAACTTCTGAGAGAAAACCCTTATTAATTGCCTATTATGACATGTTTGGGAAAGGGGGGGGGGGGGGGGGGGGGGGGTTGGTCATTCTTTTTATTTCCCCACAATAGAGCCCCTAAACCCACATGGGGAAGATGGGAAGTCATTTTTCAAACAGCTGCTATACGTGTGATGTTGATGATGGTGACGATTATTATGATTATTATTTCACCCATTGAACACTTATATTCAACAGATGTTCGGAACCCTTCCAGAAATAGAAGCAGCAACAGAAATGTTCAGCTTCGGGGAAATCTGAGTTCTAGGACAGAGGTGAGAGCGAACAGGAGTATATGTCATCTCTTTATTTGTTAATATGTCAATAGAGTGTTAACTGTGGCTTTGATATAATGCTAACAATACTTGTCACCTTTGTCTTTCTTGTAATACCAGCGATTACATGTCATCTCTGTCTAGGATGTGATGCCAACACTACATGTAATCTCTGTTGTAATATCAACACTACATGTTATCACAGCTGACATCACATCATACAGTTCTCTGAGGCAGCCGTCAGTCACCCTAAGTTATCTCTACTGACTGTTCATCTGAGACTTATAATGACTTCAAAGATAACACAAGAGATAGCACAGACGTGCTTCACCAAAAGTTCATAAAATTGTGTTAACATCATAAATTATTTACTATCTGCTATATCTGGTCTGTATAGAGTTGATGATATCTGGGATTCCTAACTTTGTTTCCAGGACAAATGGAGTCCCTAACTTTGTGTCCAGGACAAATGATGTCCCTGCCTAGCTAACCAGGACAAATGGAGTCCCTCTCTTGCTGTTCAGGACAAATGGAGTCCCTCTCTGCTGTCTAAAACAGAAGTGGTTCTCTATTACTGTCCAGGACAAATGGGATCTCTAACTTTGTGTCCAGGACACGATATTCCTGTGTTACTGTCCAGGCCAAAGGATGTCCCTCTCTAGCTAACTAGGACAAATGGAGTCCCTCTCTTGCTGCCCAGGACAAATGAGGTCCCTCTCTTTCTGTCCGGGACAAATGGGGTCCCTGTGCTGCTGTCCAGGACAAGTGATGTTCCTCTCTAGCTAACCAGGACACCTGGAGTCCCTAATTTGCTGTCCATGACAAACGGAATGCCTCTCTTGCTGTCCATGACAAACGGAATGCCTCTCTTGCTGTCCATGACAAACGGAATGCCTCTCTTGCTGTCCAAGACAAATGGAATGCCTCTCTTGCTGTCCATGACAAACGGAATGCCTCTCTTGCTGTCCATGACAAACGGAATGCCTCTCTTGCTGTCCATGACAAACGGAATGCCTCTCTTGCTGTCCATGACAAACAGAATGCCTCTCTTGCTGTCCAAGACAAACGGAATGCCTCTCTTGCTGTCCAAGAAAATGAGGTAACTCTTCTTGTATTGAGCTGAGAATATTACTGCAGATCAGCATGCCTCCACGTCACCATAAGGCTGCTGTAATGACTATGTTTGTAGTAATGCACTTGACGAGATAAAGCCAAACAGACCAGGTAATTAAACTTTCCTGTGTATTGGTTTTGTCCGCATTATGTTTATTATGTTTACCTTGTTCCACTAGAACCAGCAACGATCACTGAATCGACAGCAGAATGATGATGATGCCTTCCTAGGTGCTCCTGTTGACTGGTATGGGAACATTGAATCTCGCCTGTCTGGTCTAACCACGGCTGTTGAAGCACTTTTGAAGAAGTCAGAGAATGATGGCAGACAACTCCATGTGTCTGTCGGCCATGGTAAGTTCTGTTTATGGTGCATGTTTCTGGTAGGTGGTCCAGGTGCCGTCACTTGGCATTTGTTTTTTGTTTTTTTTTTAAATAATTTTTATGGAAATTTTTACAGTTCATGGCCTTTTTTCTTTTAAAGTGTTTATTGGGCAGAAGGATTCAGAACTCTGTTTCCCATCCCTTTTGGCAGTGATTATCAATATGATCCTGTTGAACCATTATATGTCACACAGGGCTTGCACTCTATTCCTTCATTCTGTTCTATCTTCTGCAGTTCTTTCAATATCATGGATGGAATCCAGCTCAGCTTCTGTCAGCAACGTTTGTCTTAGGATTTATCTTGGACGTCCTCCACTTGAAAAACATATGTTTACCATTATTTTTGGCTACTAGCCTGCATTTGTGATATGTTCACTGATTAACTTCACTGGTGCTCCTTCTGTCCACAGAAAGTCTTCCACACAGCATCACTGGACCCTATAGACCTGACCAGCAGCAACAGCAGCTGTTGCAACTGCAGAACCAGTCACTGATGCTGAGCTTTGGTCAGCTGGTGCAGACATTGACCCGCCAGCAAGGGGACATTCAGCAGCTACAGCAGCAAGTCCAGGCTCTACAACTGCAGGTGACCTACTTGTGTTTGCCTGTGATCTTCTTCATTACCTCGTACACGCTTCCAATATAACCACTACCATTAAAAGATATCTTCTTCCTCTTCTGTTTTATCTTTCTCTTCCTCCTCCTCCTGTTGATATTCACCGGCTGTAAACTCTAACAGAAAGTTCTGGTTATTCATCCATTCTTGGACTTTGTTCGTGATCCAGAGCTTGAGTTTTGCCCACACATGCAGATATTTCAACTGACATTCCTTTTTAAGAGCTGACTAGTCTGTCAAAATGTGAGGTTAACCCGTATACTGAGCTGGCCATTGTATGTTGACCACATCATCCATTGGTTAGTCGTTACGGTTCCGGCATCGCAGCAGACGAGCTTGGCCCATAATTGCTCAACCGCCTCTGTCAGCGATTCCAGTCACAAACTGAGTCAAATACGCTGGATATTTTAAGTGAAGGCCGTAACCATACAAAGTGTCCTCAGTCAGCAAAACACACATAATTTGATCTGGCAAACCATAAGGTGCAAGCCTCCTTAAACACACTGCGAGACGGGGCGTCATTGCTAAAAATCAACCTCATTGGAGGAATAGCTGGGCGATGAGTAGATAAAACTATTCCTAACCATTCTCCACAAGAGAATCACCCATTGGGTGCCTATTTGTCTATTGAACTCCCTCTGGTGTGGGCCCTATTGGAGGCCCACTACCCCTTACCCACATGTGGTTAAAGGTGACTAGTTAGGGCTGTTTCCAGTAAGTCAGAGTTCATCTGCCTGAGAGGTTAGGAACCAACAGTCTGCATACAAACAAGCCAGATCTTTCAAACGGATGTGCACACAAAATTCAAGTTCTGGAGCAAGACTTGAGTCCAGAAGTGGACAAACAACCAGACCTTTCCAGTGGAATTGCACAGCAAGTGAACTCAAAGAAGAAGGAGCAAAAGGTCTGAAAACATACAGGTCTAGCACTATGTGCCCAGTGTGCTTAAGGCTTGAAAAGGGTCCTTTACTTACTTTATTTATCGTATACCTAATATATTTTAACCCTTTTACTTCGTAAGATTTGTTTGTGAAAAAATTACACTTTTCCCAAATTTGATTAAAACAGAAATACAGTTATAAATCTCTGAGACTTTAACCGAAGAAACTAGTGGAAGAGAAGAAGAAGACAAAGAAGTTTGAAGTCTTGGTCAGTTATAAATACCCATGGGTTGAAACTTATGACCACTGAGCAGACAGGCAGACCTGCTAGCTATTGCATCATCGCAACCAACCAATCCCTAAAAAGATGGATTTTTTTATATTAGCCATTGTTTTGCACAAAGATTATTATTTTTGTTTTAGGTAAAATAACGGGAAGTATTCATTAAATACAGACAGAACAAAGAAGTAACTGCTTCCCTTTCCTTTGGCCAAGGAAATAGGGGGTTTGTTAACACAGCTGCAGAGAGCAAAATGACATCATAAGTTTATTATGACATCACTATGATCCAACAGAAAAAAACAAATTGATTTGTTTCATTCCCAGTGATATCTCACAATACAATCTCATTTGTAAATAAAACCATACCCACCATGTCTACACACTGTGCAGTCGCAATGAGTACCAGAACTATTATTTGAGCCACTGCTGAAAGAAGTCATGTCATCAAAAACCTAAACAAGTCGAAAAACAAGCTTTCTCGGGACGACAGGGTTAAAGCATTTAAACGTTTCTATAATTGACTTTCTTGACTTCCATTGTAATAAAGCTTTCTCTCTCATCAATCCTGTTAAAATCTTCCCTGTCTATCTCTACAGATCCAAGCACTTAGCTTTGAACACATGACTCCTGCGGTCACAGTTAACCTTCCCAGTCCATTCCGCCAGCCGCAGCCCAGCCCAGTGGTCAGCACCTGCAGTTCCAGACCTAGAGTCACCCCAGCGGCAGCAACTTTAGGTGTCCGTCCAGTCGTCATTAAGCACCAACAGAAACCACACTTGCAGTCACAGGTACTGGCTCTTGTTGAAACACTTGTTCTGAAGCAGACATTTTCTGGTCACAGCTCTCCCATTCTCTTTGTCTCTTTATTTTCTTGAAGTTTTTTGCATACCTTTACATGACCTCACAGACCGATGCCAGCATTTAGTGTTGAGAACCAGCAGTACACATGTGTCATGATGTGACTGACTCACAGAGCATGTTGAGAACCAGCAGTACACATGTGTCATGATGTGACTGACTCTCAGAGCATGTTTAAAAGGGTTGAGACAGGTGTGTTGCATGCAGATTGGCAAGCATTACTTTAGAGGACCCAGGTAGATAGCGCCCTTTGGCTGTTTTCTCTATGTCATGTCAGTGTGGTGGGAAATGAACAGGCAGACTGGCTGGCTCTGCACCATTTGAAGGTGAAATAATGCATAACAAGTGTTATGTTGTAAGGGTCCTTTGTGAATGAGTGAACAGGCTGAGGCACAAATAGATCATCGCTGTGTGAGGAAAACGGTACTGTGAGGAGTGACCAGGCAGAGGCACACATAGATCATCGCCGTGTGAGGAAAACGGTACTGTGAGGAGTGACCAGGGGATCGAAGCCTTATGAGAACGTCCCGAGTGTTGTTGATTCCTAATTCAACATTCAACTACACTCTAATCTAGGCTTTATGTTCAGTAGTTTTCCATTACCAAGAGAGAAGATGCTGAACAGTCTGATGCCTTGTCATGAAAGATTATCTGTGTCAGAAATGATTGAAGCATGTGAGACAGAAGGTTGTGGATAGATATGACCCCCACATGGAATGGACAATAAGAGAAAGTTTGCTGTTCCCCTTTGAATGGTTGGTAATCAATACCATTGTTGAAGTCAATGCAAAGTAGCCTGCTGCTAAATCCTTACAGCTGAATTGAACTGCAGTACTGAATGGAGTCGTGTTAGCAACTCTTGAGCTACAGGCACAGACTTTGATGAAGCAAGTGTTGCTGCCTATGTAAGGAATGTTCACCTGAAACCCGTCCCAATGGCTTTATTACAAAAGCATGAAAGAAACATCAAATTATGTGGCAGAATTAAACAAAGCATCTAATTTTGAATGAATTCCACACCATAGGTTAGTCAGAAAAAATCATTCGAGCAACTAGTGAATGCTAAAAAGAAGAAGAAGAGTACCTGGTATGAAAGAACTGAGATCAGGGAAGCATCTACTTTTCCATACAAGAATAATTGTGCTCTAAATTTGTTTTGTCACTTTTTGTGTATGTTACATTAAAATGTTTTTTTTTGTTTTTTAAAACAGAAACAGAGAAATGTGAACAACACAGACTTATTCATCAATCATTCTGAGGCCAGTTCCGGGTTTGCAAGTGTCCAATCTGGCAGTTTGAGCCTCTCTGCCCGTCACCTGCCTCAAGGTGCAGATAAAACTCCTGCTGATGGCGCCTGTAGTAACCTTGACACCAGCCAGCCACAGTCTGTCTTTCAGCAGGGGCCGGCCACTAGGTTTGTGTTTCTTCTGCTTCTTCTTCTTCTGCTTCTTCTTCTGCACCTTCTTCTTCTTCTTACTCTTCTTCTTCTTCTTCTTCTTCTTCTTCTTTTTCTTCTTCTTCTTCTTCTTCTTCTTCTTCTTCTTCTTCTTCTTCTTCTTCTTCTTCTTCTTCTTCTTCTTCTTCTTCTTCTCCTTCTTCTTCTTCTTCTTTTGCACTTTTTTCTTCTTCTTCTTCTTCTTCTTCTTCTTCTTCTTCTTCTTCTTCTCCTTCTTCTTCTTCTTCTTTTGCACTTTTTTCTTCTTCTTCTTCTTCTTCTTACCCTTCTTCTTCTTCCATTCGCCTTTAATAAGTTGTTTTGTCTGCAATTGTATCTCTTTAAGTAAATTTTACTGTCATTTTATTTGTTTCATTTCTTGATTTTGCTCTTAGAAGAGTGTTTAGCATGTTTATGTTATTGTATACAGCTAGGATCGGATGTAGGCATTTTTTTGGGGGGGCCAACACATTTATTTCAATAAACCCTTGATTGATTGATTGTTACAACATGCCTGTTAAAGGGCAGGGGGTCAGCCCCCTCCTTTCCCTCCACCTCCAGATGACCCTGGAACTCACATGAGGGAGGATCACTTATGGAAATGCCAAATGTTCACCAAAGATGATCCTGTATTGATCAGTGAACCATGGTTGCTACATCAGCCAATACAAAACACAACTTGTCAGCATAAACAGTAGAAAACGAACTTGGGAGAAGATCAGAACATTAAATGATTTGACTGATGTGCAGTTAAAATTATCCTGCAATAAACATTTCTTACTTCCCTTTCACAGAAAATCTGGCAAGGTCAAGAAGTCAAACAGTGATTCCACTTCAGGTATGTTGCTAAACTAAAGTAGCCTTTTCCATTTCTTGAAGCATATTGCAGACAGATTGACACTGATTTCGACAATGATATGGAGAGCCAACCATTCAGAAAGCAGTGGCAAACTTCTTTTTTCTCAAAGTCTCTGCCATGTGGTGTTAGTAGTATACTTTCAGTCATTTCTGGCACAGATGACCTTCCCTAACATGATGTCAATCTGTCCAGTATCTTCTCTCTGTGCCTTCCTTTGCCTTCCCCCCCCCCCTTTTCATTTGTTTCCACTGTCACAATGTACTGCAGTTTTCTCCTTTTCATTACACGACTAAAGATTGTGGATTGTCTCTTTCTGACGTGGCCAGTCTGTTCTCTTCTTGAGTCACTTTCTTTCATGAAATCTTCATTTAAAAACAGGAAATCTGCTGAGGATATTTATTCTCATGTGTCTGTAACAATCACACCCCTACCGCTTCCACTTAATTTTTAATTAACTCTTTGAGTCCCAGGGGGTTTAGCGTCACAGACCCAGGGGGTAGTAAAGAATAATAAAATCGGCGCATTATGCGTTTACTGGGCTTCTAGGTAGGAACCTATGAATGTATGATGCGTTCCTTGGGACTCAGAGAGTTAATTGCCCAGGTGTCTGTGATTCCCATCCATATATCAGGATAGATTTATATAGCACTTAAGAATTCTCTTTCTCACTTCAGTTGACCAAAATAGATTGCATAGAATATTCTTCATTTTGTAAAATGCTGCCTTTGCTTGATCTATTCTACAGTTAACTTCTTTATTTAATACATCTTCCATCTAATGTTATCAGGTTACCCAGGTGCTCAACTTTTTGAGTCCCAGGGGGTTTAGCATCTCAGGCCCAGAGGGTAGTAAATAGAGTAATAAAATCGGCGTATCATGCGTTCATTGGGCTTCTAGGTAGGAACCTATGATGCGTTCCTTGGGACTCAATGAATTAAGTATAATAATATATGTCCTATGTGCTTTTATGTTGCAGTATGGAGGATCCATTTTCTTTGTAAATAATATTGCTTCTGTTTTTAAGATCGCCTGGGTGAAAGGGTTAATGTGACCATGTTATTTTACTTGTCCGTTTTCTCGATTCCCAGCTTCAGCACAATTTTTGTATTTTTTGTGTGTTCCTGTGCAATATTAGCTCTTCTTGTATACATCCACATCTCAAACAATCAGTCAGGTGTCACATCCATAATGAAGGTTGGCTGCAATGGATCTGCCTCCTGTCTTGGTTGTACACTCTCTCAGACTGCTGTTTTTTTACCTCTTGGTGTTGTCCTCCCACTTATATCATTGTCCAGCTCTTGCTATCTTAACCTCGACCTTTCTTGCCAGTATGGTTTTTAAAAGAGTGTTATTCTTTTAATGTAGCCAGAATATTTCAGTTGTCTCTTTTTATTTTATTTAGTATTTCTCTTTTCATTCATAGTACTTCCAGAACCTCTGTATTTTAGTGTTTTTGTTTCTAAGAAATATGACCTATTCTTCTGTATTTCCACATTTCCAGTAGTTTGATTTTCTTGTAGCCTGTTTATTGTCCAAGTTTCTGCCTCATACAGCAGGGTTGAGTGTGTGTAACATTAGCCGATTCTCATTTTATTGTGTTTTTATCTCTCTGGTCAGTAGTGTAGCATCTCAATAAAAATAGTTTTAGCCGTTTCTGTTCTCTTTTTAATTTCTGTTTCGCTTCTACCATCGTCACTTATTATGTGTCCAAGATAGGGAAGAAACGTGTTACTTGTTTGAATATCTTTCCGCTTACTGTGTTGTTAATACGTGTCCTAGGAAGGAGAAACCTGTAACTTATTCTAATATCTTTTCATTTACTATGTTGTTCACGTTCATCTTTTCCGTTGTTAATTACCAAAGTTTTTGTTTTTCTAGTGTACACCCACACACATACACCCCATACTTTCAAATCTCAGTGTCTCAACTTGGCTTCCCAACAGGTGTGAGAATGCCTGTGGCTAGACCTGAAAACCTTGCAGAAGAAAGACGCCGTGCTTATCCTGGCAAGATGGACGATGGTCAAGCTGCGTCCAGGGCCCCAGCTGTTGGCCAGGCTGGCATCAGGATGGATGGCTTTGATCAGGATGGGTCTGGTTACAGCAGCTCACAGTCTGTTTCCAGTCAGTTCTCGGTACCGGCACCAGCTAGGTATGTTGTCACTGGAGGGGAATGTTGTTTCCAGTCAGTTCTCGGTACCGGCACCAGCTAGGTGTGTTGTCACTGGAGGGGAATGTTGTTTCCAGTCAGTTCTCGGTACCGGCACCATCTAGGTGTGTTGTCACTGGAGGGGAATGTTGTTTCCAGTCAGTTCTCGGTACCGGCACCAGCCAGGTTGTCAGTGGAGGGGAATGTTGTTTGTGGGGTTTTCTTGTGAGGGGAGATATCATGTGTGGGTTTACTAATGAGGGTAAATATCATGTGTGGCTACTGTGTGTCGGACTGCCAGTGTTGACACTTTTTACTGCTGCCTTATGCATTTAATATGTGCTTTTGGATTTGCAAAGAGTGCAGTCTGTGTCATTTCTGTCACACGGGACTGATAGATATTCCTTGTGGTTTTTGTTGACACAGAAATGGAGCAACTATGGGGTGATAGCTATGGAGTTGGAACCACAGTTACCTGATTCATAAACAGTCATTACAATTTTAGACTACAATTAAACGCAAGGTTTGTTTCCTCTAAATAAACAAACATTTTTTTTTTTACTTTGCAGACAAGGAGATTCTGGTGCTGCCGTGACTAATAGTAGCACACTTTTCGACACACTGCGTGATACTATCTACACGGAGGTGGCCTCCTTGATCTCACAGAATGAGAACCGCCCGTATTTCCTCTTGGAGCTTTTTCGGGACATGCAGCGAGTTGATTCCGACTCCATGCGACAGCAGGCCCTCAACTCGTTGCAAGAACTTGTCAGTTCGGGTTACAGAAATGTCACGTCTGCCTGGTCGGTGAGTGGATACCTACACACATGTGCACGCGCATGCATGCACACACAACACAAAAACCTGTGTATGTTTGTATTTGAGTGTATGTGTATGTGCGCGCACCTATTTGGTTTTGAATATATTTGATCATCTTCAATGTCTGCTTGGTCTGTGAGTGGACATACGTATGTATGTATGTATGAAAGAACGACAAAACGAACGAACAAACTTTATTTTCAAAGGGTTACAAATTAGGCACGCAGGCCTGTCTGACATTCGGCCCTTCTAATCTAAGCACTCATTTTTTCAGAGTACCAGTGCCTGTTAACAATAATGCATGTTATGGATGTAATAAAGAAATATACATTATGGAATAATGCATACACAGATCATGTGTATACAATCTTACTCACTCAAACACACACACACACATATACGTACTCTTACATTCTCATACATGCACACTCATATACAGACATACGTAATACATACATGTATGCACATACATAGAAATACATGCACACACACATTCCATACACATACAATCACATATAAAGACAAATACACATATACACTCACATGCATAAATACACGAACATGCATGCATACATTCATACACACACACATACATACCATGTGTTGTTGTTTTCATATATTTATGGACTTGGTTTTGATAATGGACAATGTTTCATTGATGTTTCCTTAAGTTTCTTCTTCTTCCATGTGTGTGTGCATGTGCATGTGCTTGCGTGCGTTCATGCGAGTGGAGTGAGTGAGTGAATGAATGAATGAATGAATGAATGAGTAAATAAATGAAGTTGAGTCTTCTGTTTTCAGCATATATCAGTTCATGTGCTGGTAACACTGCATTTCATGACATAAGGTTGTCAAGAATCTTCTCTTTTTTTTTCTATTAGATCTTTCCAGTGGTCACAACATGTTCCCGTTTTCTTATTCTCATAACATGCCCCAAAAATGATGACTTCTGTTTCCAATGTTTGTGATAAGTTGTCTTTGAGCCCTCACACTGTTTTTGTCTGTCCAAGGAATTCTAAAGATTCTGTAAAACCACATCTCCAAGGCCTCAAGAAATTGGTCAGCTTGTTTATTTATTATCCAGGATTTACGACCATAACACTGGAATCTGTTTCTTCTTTACGATCACAGTAAACTCTGGCAAAAAAGATCTGGTTGTTCTTCCACTTCTGGACTTTGGTCCTGTTCCAGATCATGTGTTTTACATATGTGTATAGATGTGAGTTAATTTATATGCAGACTGTTCCTCTCCTCGCAGGCAGATGCACTAACTTTGAAGGATACCACTCCCTAATTAGTGGACTTTTACAGCATGCTTGTTAGGAGATCAGTGACATCCCCCCCCCCCCCCCCCCCCCCTCCCGAACCTACATCGGGAACAGGGAGAATGAAGTTGATAAATACAAAAACTGTAAGATGTAAGGGAGCACCATGTTTCTTATAATGGGTGGCTTGGTATAGAGTGAGTTAATTACGTCTAGATACAGTGTTATTGTAGGAGCATCTGGGTTCCAGGACCCCACTGTGGGAGGGGAACAAGAATAGACCCACTGCCCCCAACAAGCATGTAGTCAGAGTTTACTAATTAGATGTGTTTCCTTCAAAGTCCAAGTGAATTTGCCTGAGAGGCCAGGTACCGACAGTCTCAGTACAAATATACCAGATCTGTCAAATTAATGTGCATGCAAAACTCAGGTTCTGGAACAAGACTACAGTCCAGAAGTGGATGAACAACCAGAACTTTCTGCCAGAGTTTACAGCTGGTGAACATAAACAAGAACAATGAGAAAACTGGGCTGTCATGTGAGAGATCATGGTTTGAGTCCTTGGTAAGCCTTGGTAAGCACAAATAAACACCCTAGCCTGCACAGTCCATGGTGACTATAGCCAGTCGTGCACCACTACAAGCTCAGGCCCAGGGCTTGCCTGAGTTGTGAGCTAGGCTATCTTCACAGCACTCCGGACACATCCATAGGTGCTCAGATTCCCCCTTACGGATATACTTCAGTGTCCTGTGGTTAATAGTGCCAACCTTTTGTTGGTTAACAAGATTTCTTCATCAATGGTCAACTGTAAACACAGGCAATAAAGGCAGTTTTTTTTTGCAAAGTTATTATTTAGTGAATAAATTGTGTTAAATTTGGAAATGTTTCAGTCTGGACCCACCTGGAGTCAGTCCACACAAACTCACAGTGAGACAGTGAGTACAGGACTGATACCTGACAAGGATTCAACATCAGAAGATGATGATGATGGTGATCTGCTAGAGGTAAGATTTGTTCAGTTATTTGTCTTGTTTTGTGAAGATAGAGGGGCAATGATTTGTGAATCAAAATCTGTTAGTGGTGTGATTTCATTCACAAGCTTAAGGGAAGGTTAACCCACTTGTCCAGGGAAAGTCCTATTTCCTACTTTCGCAGAATTTAGAGTTTATGATGTACTTTGTTGCTGGCTGCAACTGCATAGTGTGTGACAAGATTGGGGTTTATATCCCCCCTCCCCTTCTGCCCGCAAAACATAATTTCAGGTATTATTTGGAGTAAACAAAACAAAACAAAAAAAGATTAAAAACAGTTTTGAGGTAATTGCATTATTGTGTTACAAAGTGACCAGACTCGTACCAAGTCATATGACAATCTGCAGGCACGGCTTCAAGAGGAGATAGAAGAGCGGAATCAGCTGGAGAAATCCATCAGAAGTGGCACCTTCCAGGGTGCACCTTTCGATTACGCTGAACTAGTGGACAACCCAAGCTCCTTGTCCACACCAACTAATGCGGATGATGAACATCTCAACCTTCAGGTATGTTTCTGTTGAGAAAGTCTGTCTTACCTTCAGGTATGTTTCTGTTGAAAGTGTCTCTCACCTTCAGGTATGTTTTTTTTTGAAAGTGTCTTTCATGTATGTTTCAGTTAAAAGTGTCCCTCAGCTTTCAGATTTGTTTCTGTTGAAAATACTGTCTTTTCCATTACATTTTCACACTTAAAGATTTGCATTTGACACATGAGGCAGACCAAGAAGAATGTGGAAAGAAAGTGAGTGTTGAATTGAGAATCAACATCACAGCACTTGGGACACTCCCAAAAGCCCTCCATCCCCATCTTCACTTTTGCTATATACCACTTCGTCAGCCTCTCAGCACACAGCCATCTGTATAGATAATCACATCACTTGGGCGGGAATTGTCATGAATCATTTGTTGAACTTCTGAATCTGCAGCACCAGCTGGTCAATCCCTGCACTCTTGTCCTAAAGTGATTACAACCCTACACATGTCTGATTCTTGCTTGAACACTTGGACCCACTCCTCTCCTCACCAATTTGTCCTCACCAATATGTCCTGCACCAATATGTCCTGCACCAATATGTCCTCACCAATATGTCCTCACCAATATGTCCTGCACCAATATGTCCTCACCAATATGTCCTGCACCAATATGTCCTCACCAATATGTCCTGCACCAATATGTCCTGCACCAATATGTCCTGCACCAATATGTCCTCACCAATATGTCCTCACCAATATGTCCTGCACCAATATGTCCTGCACCAATATGTCCTGCACATATGTCTGATTATGTCTTCAGCTTGTGCCATCCAATCAATCAGTCTTTATCGTTCCAAGATGCACATAAGGCAGAGACAAACTGTTGCCACTCAATTCGATCATGAGCCATCCTATCACCAGTTTTGTCCTTCCCGTAGCCTTGAATTCAGCCTTAAAGGTTCACCTCTAAGTTCCTCTGACCCTGTCTCTTCCTCGCTGTCCTTGTGGTGTCCATTGCATTGCCTGTCTCGGCCGTCTCTCTTTCTTCATTCTGAGGACATGACCAACCCACCTCCATCTTCGTTTTTTGACTTCAAAATTTACATCTTTGAAGTCTTTCATTTGTTGTAAGCTAGAGTTGCTGATTTTATCTTCCTATGTGAACACCAACAATTTTCTGAGAAGTCTTACCTCAAAACCTCTGAGCATGCTCTCTATCTTTCTGTTTGTTTTCAAAGTTTTTGCACCATTTTAAAAATATTTTTTAAGCAGTGTTGGATTGCTGGCCCCACGTCCGACCCCACTCTAGTCGCCTCTTACGACATACTAAGAGGAAGCACTGGTCCTATTTTTTATTACACCAGGCACCACACGGTGAGTGCCATCCAATACCTTCCTCTTTTCAGTCTGTAACCCTTAGCTCTACCTAGGGCTTCATGCAGGAGTTGCTTCTTGTCTGCAGCTACTCTAAGATATGACTTCACTTGCAGAACTTTTAGCCTATCTGCAATATAGGCAGTGCAAGTACATATCGCTTACATACTATTAGGGTTTCTCTTGTACCATCCGAATTTGAACTCTTCACCTGTTGCTGAAGTTTGTGACGGAGCGCTTATAGGAGTGTTCTGAGTGCCGTGATAGTTGATGCTTAATTCAACATTCAACACCTCTGACACTAGAATATAAATTGTAAACTCTCTCTTATGTTCTGTTATTTTCTAAACGTCAACATTTCACATATGTAAACACTCTTATTTTCTTTTTTTTGCAGCACCAACATGTTGACACAGAACCACAGCGGCAGCAGCAGCAGCAGCAGGTCCAAATCATCATGATGGCTGTAAACAATTTCATCAAAAAACGCGCTGGTGACATTTGCTCCGTTCAGTTGTTAAATGTCATCATACGCTTGGTGGCTTCCTCTGTGTATGTGTCAGGGGGCCAGGAGTTTGTACGTCTGTTTCAACAGCAACTGACGTCAGTGCTGGAGGACAGGGTGGTGAAATACCAGGGCAGGAGGTGAGCTCTCGCAGTCTTTGAGTTCCCTGTAGAGACAGTGTCTATAGCCAGAGTCTTTTGATCAAATTCTGTTTGTACAGCCAGTGTCTGTTTGTTGAGACAATGTCTGTGTGTTGAGACAGTGTCTATTTGTTGAGACTTATATTTATTGAGACAGTGTCTGTTAGTAGAGACAGTGTCTGTTTATAGAGACAGTTCTGTTTGTAGAGACGGTGTCTGTGGAGCCAGTGTCTATTAGTAGAGCCAGTGTCTGTTTGTAGAGACAGTGTCTGTCTGGAGAGACAGCATCAGCCTGTAGACCCAGCGTGTGTTTGTAGACCCAGCATGTGTTTGTAGAGCCAGCCTGTTTGAAGAGTCAGCGTCTGTTTATAGAGACAGTGTCTGCTTGTAGAGCCATGTCTGTGTGAAAAGCCAGTGTGTGTCAGTAGAGACAGTGTCTGTCTGTAGAGCCAGTGTCTGTCTGTAGAGCCAGTTTCTGTCTGTAGAGCCAGTGTATGTCTGTAGAGCCAGTGTCTGTCTGTAGAGCCAGAGTCTGTCTGTAGAGCCAGTGTCTGTCGGTAGGGCCAGTGTCTGTAGAGTGAGAGTCTGTCTGTAGAGCCAGTGTCTGTCTGTAGAGCCAGTGTCTGTAGGGCCAGTGTCTGTAGGGCCAGTGTCTGTAGAGCCAGTGTCTGTAGGGCCAGTGTCTGTAGGGCCAGTGTCTGTAGGGCCAGTGTCTGTAGAGCCAGTGTCTGTAGGGCCAGTGTCTGTAGAGCCAGTGTCTGTAGAGCCAGTGTCTGTAGGGCCAGTGTCTGTAGAGCCAGTGTCTGTAGAGCCAGTGTCTGTAGGGCCAGTGTCTGTAGAGCCAGTGTCTGTAGAGCCAGTGTCTGTAGGGCCAGTGTCTGTAGAGCCAGTGTCTGTAGGGCCAGTGTCTGTAGGGCCAGTGTCTGTAGAGCCAGTGTCTGTAGGGCCAGTGTCTGTAGAGCCAGTGTCTGTAGGGCCAGTGTCTGTAGGGCCAGTGTCTGTAGAGCCAGTGTCTGTCTGTAGGGCCAGTGTCTGTAGAGCCAGTGTCTGTAGGGCCAGTGTCTGTAGGGCCAGTGTCTGTCTGTAGAGCCAGTGTCTGTAGGGCCAGTGTCTGTAGGGCCAGTGTCTGTAGGGCCAGTGTCTGTAGGGCCAGTGTCTGTAGAGCCAGTGTCTGTAGGGCCAGTGTCTGTAGAGCCAGTGTCTATAGAGCCAGTGTCTGTAGGGCCAGTGTCTGTAGGGCCAGTGTCTGTAGGGCCAGTGTCTGTAGGGCCAGTGTCTGTAGGGCCAGTGTCTGTAGAGCCAGTGTCTGTAGGGCCAGTGTCTGTAGAGCCAGTGTCTGTAGGGCCAGTGTCTGTCTGTAGAGCCAGTGTCTGTAGGGCCAGTGTCTGTAGGGCCAGTGTCTGTAGGGCCAGTGTCTGTAGAGCCAGTGTCTGTCTGTAGGGCCAGTGTCTGTAGAGTCTGTCTGTACAGCCAGTGTCTGTAGAGCCAGTGTCTGTCTGTAGGGCCAGTGTCTGTAGAGCCAGTGTCTGTAGGGCCAGTGTCTGTAGAGCCAGTGTCTGTCTGTAGAGCCAGTGTCTGTCTGTAGGGCCAGTGTCTGTAGAGTGAGAGTTTGTCTGTAGAGCCAGTGTCTGTCTGTAGAGCCAGTGTCTGTATAGTGAGAGTCTGTCTGTAGAGCCAGTGTCTGTCTGTAGAGCCAGTGTCTGTCTGTAGAGCCAGTCTTTGTCTGTAGGGCCAGTGTCTGTAGAGCCAGTGTCTGTCTGTAGGGCCAGAGTCTGTAGAGTGAGTGTCTGTCTGTAGAGCCATTGTCTGTCTGTAGGGCCAGTGTCTAATGTAGACAGTAGAGGTAAATACTTGAAGCATGGGGCTGGCTGTAATGTCCTGTGGCCAGCAGAACCTGCCTGTAAGCCTTGCTTCTCCTCCCCAGGATGATAGAATGTGGAGAAGAACTGGTCAGTGACATCAGTGATGTCCTGTACCGGCAGCTGGCTGACCTTGGCTTGGGGCACAACTTTGATGACCGTGTGGTCACTGGACAGGGGATATCTAGAGACTGGCCACTGCAGGTGAGTCCTTCTTCTTCTTCTTCTTCTCCTCCTCCTCCTCCTCCTCCTTCTTCTTCTTCTTCTTCTTCTTCTTCTTCTTCTTCTTCTTCTTCTTCTTCTTCTTCTTCTTCTTCTTCTTCTTCTTCTCCTCCTCCTCCTTCTTCTTCTTCTTCTTCTTCTTCTTCTTCTTCTTCTTCTTCTTCTTCTCCTCCTCCTCCTCCTCCTCCTCCTCCTCCTCCTCCTCCTCCTCCTTCTTTACCTTAACCAGCTGAGAACAGAAAGTCAAGGTTGTTCCAGGACTTGAGTTTTTGCAATAACATCCATTTTACAGATCTGGCTTATTCGTATTTAGACTGTTGGTTCCTCATCTCTCAGGCAGATGCACTCTAACCTCGAGTGAAACAGCCCTCATTAGTTGACTTTTACAACATGCTTGTTGATGGTGTAATTGTTATTCTAATTATGATTATTTTGTTTGTGATGTTATTCTGGCAGATGGTGGAAAGTGAACAGACACCTGAGCATGGATCTTTGAGCCGCACCCCCACTGGAGGTAGCAGTCAAGTTGAGGACGTGAGTACATATGCAAATGTTCATGAATTTGTGGACAATAGAAGCCTGACCTCTGTGTTTGGAGCCATCCAATATGAGCATACAGCAGTAATTTCTGTAAGTGTGTAATAAATGGGGAAAAACCCATGATGAAAGAAAGGGTTTCCCAAGGGGGAAAGGTTAAGAGGTCAGGGACCAGTTAGGAAAGGTTAATCACAAGGAGAGACTGCTCCAAAAAAAAAGTATTTGAGAATGTGTGAAGTGAACTGTGGTCAAAGGGAATAGACTGAGGCGAGAGAAGGGCAGGGGCATTCCTTGTGAGACGGGTTTGAGCGAAGGTTCTTTGTACAGTTGAATGCTGGAGGGAAAGAACTGTCGTGTTAGCAAATACCGGGACAGTGCAACTGATCAACGACTGACGTTGGCAAACATGTCAGCAGAATGCTGAGTAAATCTTGTGTGTACTCCAGGAAATATGTGTGCATGAACTTGTGAGTAATAGAACGGCTGTTATGGTATGAATGATGAATGACTGATGTGATCAAATAACCTCTTGACAACGAATTGCTGACCGTGACCCTACTTATTTGAGTTACTGAATAAACATTTATGTTCAATGGGATTTTCCTGTTGGTACAGTCTGATTGCAACGCAAGACAGTAAACCAGGAACATTATGATGTTAAAATGCCGTATAAGTACCAGAAGGAAATCCACATGGCTGTTGAAGAGCAAGTAAAGCAGCCTTGTCATGGTTTCCGCATTCAGGATATGCTGCTAGACCTAACACCTTCACCTTGACTTATGACCTTTGCCACTTAACGACCACAGAAAGTCATTAAAAAAAAAGTCATAAATAGTAAAGATAATTACATTGGCAGGCTGAAACAGCTCCTGGATTTATGTACATATTATGTATTTTTTTTACATTATGTGCAATAATTATACGTACCTAAGATTGAATACTTGTGTTTAATTTACACATTTTATTGCTCAGTTGATTGGTCAGAACAGAACGCTGGCATTAAGTCGAGGAGACTCCGTGTTTTATAGACCAATCAGCACTTGCTGTGTGGTGTGTCAACATCCGAATATTGTAAGCTCCAAGTGAAAATGTAGAATTACCACGCTCCATTTTTTGGAGGGAAAGGGGGGAATAGGTCCACTGCCTCCCCAACAAACATGTTGTAAAAGGCAATTATATAGGGATTTTCCCTCCAAAGTTGGAGTGCATCTGCTGAGAGGCATGGAACTAACAGTCTCCACATAAATAAGCCAGATCTGTAAAACGGATGTGAATGCAAAATTCAAGCTCTGGAGACTAAAGTCCCGACGTGGACGAACAACCAGAACATTACACTAGTTTACAGCATGTGAAAGCTAAGAAGAAGGTTTTTAAGCTTCAATGAACATGAAGAAGAATGAGTTGTACATTATGAAAACAAAGGGTAACACAGACAATCTAAACTACAGTTAAACCTCGCTGATATTAACCCGCTTAATTCTTTAAGTACCAGGAAATTTAGCTCAACAGTACAAGGTTTGGTGAGCACAATGCATGTAAACAAAGTTCTTCTTTTCCTCCTCCTCCTCCTTCTCTTCCTCCTCCTCTTCCTCCTGCTCCTCTTCTTCTTCTTCTTCTGCTGCTATGTTTGCTCCTAAACTAATTGTTGGCACATTGTATTGTGATTTACAGCCAGCCTGTGCTATCTGCACTTTTTAAACCCAACACATATGATTTAATGTCATCCATTATTAGTTGCCTTTTACAACATGCTTATTAAGAGTGGGTCTATCTTAGGAGAACCCACCCACCCACCCAGTGCAGCTCACCTGAGAATCCTGAACCTACAGAGGCTAGCACAGAAAAATCTAAAAACTCATTTTTTATAAAGTTGTATTGGTGGCATCTGTTAACTCTTTGAGTCCCAAGAAACGCATCATACGTTCATAGGTTTGTACCTAGAAGCCCAATGAACGCATGATGCGCCGATTTTATAACTCTCTTTACTACCCCCTGGGCCTGTGATGCTAAACCCCCTGGGACTCAAAAGAGTTAAAGTGGTTTTCCTAATATGAGTTCTGTCTTTCAGCAGGTGCAGAAAGTTACTGGCAGTGAGAAAAGTGAATCAGAACATGATGATGATGATGCTGGGGTCTCAGAGGAGTCATTCTGCTATGTTGGGGTCTCTGAGCAATCATACACAGTGGAGCTTGCACAGAGTGAAACAAAACCATTTACCAGGTAAAGCAACTCTGTACAAGCTAACACAACACACATACAGCTACATACGAGGTTAACTAACCATATAACAGCTAACACAACACACATACAGCTACATACGAGGTTAACTAACCATATAACAGGTAACACAACACACATACAGCTACATACGAGGTTAACTAACCATATAACAGCTAACACAACACACATACAGCTACATACGAGGTTAACTAACCATATAACAGGTAACACAACACACATACAGCTACATACGAGGTTAACTAACCATATAACAGCTAACACAGCACACATACAGCTACATACGAGGTTAACTAACCATATAACAGCTAACACAGCACACATACAGCTACATACGAGGTTAACTAACCATATAACAGGTAACACAACACACATACAGCTACATACGAGGTTAACTAACCATATAACAGCTAACACAACCACACATACAGCTACATACGAGGTTAACTAACCATATAACAGGTAACACAGCACACATACAGCTACATACGAGGTTAACTAACCATATAACAGGTAACACAACACACATACAGCTACATACGAGGTTAACTAACCATATAACAGCTAACACAACCACACATACAGCTACATACGAGGTTAACTAACCATATAACAGGTAACACAGCACACATACAGCTACATACGAGGTTAACTAACCATATAACAGCTAACACAACACACATACAGCTACATACGAGGTTAACTAACCATATAACAGGTAACACAACACACATACAGCTACATACGAGGTTAACTAACCATATAACAGGTAACACAGCACACATACAGCTACATACGAGGTTAACTAACCATATAACAGCTAACACAACACACATACAGCTACATACGAGGTTAACTAACCATATAACAGGTAACACAACACACATACAGCTACATATGAGGTTAACTAACCATATAACAGGTAACACAACACACATACAGCTACATACGAGGTTAATTAACCATATAACAGGTAACACAACACACATACAGATACATACGAGGTTAACTAACCATATAACAGGTAACACAACACACATACAGCTACATACGAGGTTAACTAACCATATAACAGCTAACACAACACACATACAGCTACATACGAGGTTAACTAACCATATAACAGGTAACACAGCACACATACAGCTACATACGAGGTTAACTAACCATATAACAGCTAACACAACACACATACATCTACATACGAGGTTAACTAACCATATAACAGGTAACACAACCACAAGAAGTTAATATAACCGTGTACAAATTAACATAACCACATATAGGTTAACGAAACCATGTACAATGTTACCTAACCACATATAATGGCACATACGAGTTAACACAACAATGTAAAAGTTACACAACCACACACAAGTTAACACAACCACATAGAAGGTAAGATAACCACACATAAGGTAACTTTACTATATACAAGGTAACTCAACCACTTACAAAATGACATCACCGCCATTTACAAGTTAACACAATGTTATGGACTGGTAGTCCATGTGTTTTGGTGTGTGAGAGTTAATATAAAAAGCTCATAAAAGTAAGATAGAGCAGACAAGAGTTACCAGGACATACACAGGACGACGACAACAATGTCAACAAACTAGCAATGGGAGGCTGATGAATAGAAGCTGACAGTAGCATGGTTATGATCATTTTTCTCACACTTTTCAGCTTTTTGTCGTGTAGGTTTCTAATCACATTGAGCCATAAGTGCAGGGACTGGCCAGCCGGCGCTTGAGCCATGAGTGCAAGGACTGGCCAGCCGGTGCTTGAGCCATGAGTGCAGGGTCTGGCCAGCCGGTGCTTGAGCCATGAGTGCAGGGACTGGCCAGCCGGCGCTTGAGCCATGAGTGCAGGGACTGGCCAGCTGGCGCTTGAGCCATGAGTGCAGGGACTGGCCAGCCGGCGCTTGAGCCATGAGTGCAGGGACTGGCCAGCTGGTGCTTGAGCCATGAGTGCAGGGACTGGCCAGCCAGCGCTTGAGCCATGAGTGCAGGGACTGGCCAGCCGGCGCTTGAGCCATGAGTGCAGGGACTGGCCAGCCGGCGCTTGAGCCATGAGTGCAGGGACTGGCCAGCCGGCGCTTGAGCCATGAGTGCAGGGACTGGCCGGCCGGCGCTTGAGCCATGAGTGCAGGGACTGGCCGGCCGGCGCTTGAGCCATGAGTGCAGGGACTGGCCAGCCGGCGCTTGAGCCATGAGTGCAGGGACTGGCCAGCCGGCGCTTGAGCCATGAGTGCAGGGACCGGCCAGCCGGCGCTTGAGCCATGAGTGCAGGGACCGGCCAGCCGGCGTTTGAGCCATGAGTGCAGGGACCGGCCAGCCGGCGCTTGAGCCATGAGTGCAGGGACTGGCCAGCCGGCGCTTGAGCCATGAGTGCAGGGACTGGCCAGCCGGCGCTTGAGCCATGAGTGCAGGGACTGGCCAGCTGGTGCTTGAGCCATGAGTGCAGGGACTGGCCAGCCGGCGCTTGAGCCATGAGGACAAGGACTGGCCAGACGGTGCTTGAGCCATGAGTGCAAGGACTTGCCAGTGGGCGATGGAGCCATGAGTGCAAGGACTGACCAGTGGGCGCTGAATAATCCAAAGTTTCACAAATGATTCTCACTAAGGCAGTGATTCCCAAACTGTGCGCCAGGGAGCTGTGACCTCTTCACAGGGGTGCTGCGAAATATTGTAAAAGCTTCATAATTAATTTAACCAAGACACAAATAGTCATACTTTTACTTAGGCTATGGCATCCTTGAAAAATTGTAACTGAGAAAAGTCGCAGAGGCAAAGAAAAGTTTGGTAAACACTTCACTAAGATGATGTGATTATCTATACAGATGGCTCTGTGTTCTTAGCAACAGCAAATGGATGTTGCTTAGTGCCAAAAAGCCGGTTTGTGACACCAGAACATCTAGTTTGAAAATGGAGGTGGAGGCAGTCACTGCAGCCTTGCGCTGGCTTGAGAATCAGCTGTACACACATGATGTAATTGTAACTGACCCACAGAGCATGTTGAGATAGGTGGAGACAGGTGTGCTCCGTTAAGAGGGGCAAACATCGCTTCAGACGTCCTGTGTAGTTAGCATGCCTTGGATATTTTCTTCAGGACATGCCGATTTGTTTGGTAATGAACAGCTAGATAGGCTGGCTGGATCTGCACAACTTGGTGGTGAATTGGATGCATGATAAACTAGATGTTGTGTAATGGCACTGGGTGGGGTGGGGGGTCCTGACTGACCATCAACACTCAAGGGAAAAATCAGATTAATGTACATCTGATTGTTACTGATACAATTAGAATTGAACATTTGTGCTTGCTGCTGCAGATGGGGACATAGTGCTTATGGGAATGTCCTGAGTGAAACATTTGATGTCCCCTGATAAAATGTCTGTTAGCTGTTTACCACTTGCCTGCCCTGCTGATTGTACTGGCTGTGAGCCTTTAGCTCTCATCTTCCCCCTATTGTCGGTCACTTCACCTCTCATCTTCCCCCTATTGTCAGTCACTTCACCTCTCATCTTCCCCCTATTGTCAGTCACTTCACCTCTCATCTTCCCCCTATTGTCGGTCACTTCACCTCTCATCTTCCCCCTATTGTCCGTCACTCACCTCTCATCTTCCCCCTATTGTCGGTCACTTCACCTCTCATCTTTCCCCTATTGTTGGTCACTTCACCTCTCGTCTTCCCCCTATTGTCGGTCACTTCACCTCACTTCTTCCCCCTATTGTCGGTCATTTCCCCTCTATTCTTCCCCCTATTCTTGGTCACTTCACCTCTCTTCTTCCCCCTGTTGTAGGTTACCTCACCTCTCTTCTTCCCCCTATTGTCTGTCATTTCCCCTCTCTTCTTCCCCTTATTGTCGGTCACTTCACCTCTCATCTTCCCCCTATTGTTGGTCACTTCACCTCTCTTCTTCCCTGTCGGTCACTTCACCTCTCTTCTTCCCCCTATTGTTGGTCACTTCACCTCTCTCCTTTCCCCTATTGTTGGTCACTTCACCTCTCATCTTCACCCTATTGTTGGTCACTTTACCTCTCTTCTTCCCCCTATTGTTGTTCACTTCACCTCTCATCTTCCCCCTATTGTTGGTCACTTCACCTCTCATCTTCCCCCTATTGTTTGTCACTTCACCTCTCTTCTTCCCTCTATTGTCGGTCACTTCACCTTTCTTCTTCCCCCTATTGTTGGTCACTTCACCTCTCTCCTTTCCCCTATTGTTGGTCACTTCACCTCTCATCTCCCCCCTATTGTTGGTCACTTTACCTCTCTCCTTTCCCCCTATTGTTGGTCACTTCACCTCTTATCTTCCCCCTATTGTTGGTCACTCCACCTCTCATCTTCCCCCTATTGTCGGTCACTTCACCTCTCTCCTTCCCCTATTGTTGGTCACTTCACCTCTCATCTTCCCCCTATTGTTGGTCACTCCACCTCTCTCCTTCCCCCTATTGTTGGTCACTTCACCTCTCATCTTCCCCCTATTGTTGGTCATTTCACCTCTTATCTTCCCCCTATTGTCAGTCACTTCACCTCTCTTCTTCCCCTTATTGTCAGTCATTTCCCCTCTCTTCTTCCCCTATTGTTGGTCACTTCACCTTTCATTTCCCCCTATTGTTGGTCATTTCACCTCTCATCTTCCCCCTATTGTCGGTCATTTCACCTCTCATCTTCCCCCTATTGTTGGTCACTTCACCTCTCATCTTCCCACTATTGTCGGTCACTTCACCTCTCATCTTCCCCCTATTGTTGGTCACTTCACCTCTCTCCTTCCCCCTATTGTTGGTCACTTCACCTCTCATCTTCCCCCTATTGTTGGTCACTCCACCTCTCTCCTTCCCCCTATTGTTGGTCACTTCACCTCTCATCCTCCCCCTATTGTTGGTCACTTCACCTCTCATCTTCCCCCTATTGTTGGTCACTTCACCTCTTATCCTTCCCCTATTGTTGGTCACTTCACCTCTCATCTTCCCCCTGGTCACTTCACCTCTCATCTTCCCCCTATTGTTGGTCACTCCACCTCTCATCTTCCCCCTATTGTCGGTCACTTCACCTCTCTCCTTCCCCTATTGTTGGTCACTTCACCTCTCATCTTCCCCCTATTGTTGGTCACTCCACCTCTCTCCTTCCCCCTATTGTTGGTCACTTCACCTCTCATCTTCCCCCTATTGTTGGTCATTTCACCTCTCATCTTCCCCCTATTGTCAGTCACTTCACCTCTCTTCTTCCCCTTATTGTCAGTCATTTCCCCTCTCTTCTTCCCCTATTGTTGGTCACTTCACCTTTCATTTCCCCCTATTGTTGGTCATTTCACCTCTCATCTTCCCCCTATTGTCGGTCATTTCACCTCTCATCTTCCCCCTATTGTTGGTCACTTCACCTCTCATCTTCCCACTATTGTCGGTCACTTCACCTCTCATCTTCCCCCTATTGTTGGTCACTTCACCTCTCTCCTTCCCCCTATTGTTGGTCACTTCACCTCTCATCTTCCCCCTATTGTTGGTCACTTCCCCTCTCATCCTCCCCCTATTGTTGGTCACTTCACCTCTCATCTTCCCCCTATTGTTGGTCACTTCACCTCTCATCCTCCCCCTATTGTTGGTCACTTCACCTCTCATCCTCCCCCTATTGTTGGACACTTCACCTCTCTCCTTCCCCCTATTGTTGGTCACTTCACCTCTCATCCTCCCCCTATTGTTGGTCACTTCACCTCTCATCTTCCCCCTATTGTTGGTCACTTCACCTCTTATCCTTCCCCTATTGTTGGTCACTTCACCTCTCATCTTCCCCCTGGTCACTTCACCTCTCATCTTCCCCCTATTGTTGGTCACTTCACCTCTCATCTTCCCCCTATTGTTGGTCACTTCACCTCTCTCCTTCCCCCTATTGTTGGTCACTTCACCTCTCATCTTCCCCCTGGTCACTTCACCTCTCATCTTCCCCCGGGTCACTTCACCTCTCATCTTCCCCCTATTGTTGGTCACTTCACCTCTCATCTTCCCCCTATTGTTGGTCACTTTACCTCTCATCTTCCCCCTGTTGTTGGTCACTTCACCTCTCTCCTTCCCCCTATTGTTGGTCACTTCACCTCTCATCTTCCCCCTATTGTCGGTCACTTCACCTCTCATCTTCCCCCTATTGTTGGTCACTTCACCTCTCATCTTCCCCCATTGTTGGTCACTTCACCTCTCTCCTCCCCCTATCATTGGTCACTTCACCTCTCATCTTCCCTCTATTGTTGGTCACTTCCCCTCTCCTCCTCCCATTTTGTTTGTTTATCTGTTCTACCACATTGTCTTTTCTCTTTCTAAGACACTATATCTGAATACGCTAGATCTAAATCTATCTGAAAAACTTCTGGTCCTGTATAGTTGATTGGCAGATGACCATTGAGGTTATGGCCAGTTATTTGTATTTGATCATGGTTAGCCATTGCGTTTTGCCCATATTAGGACTGGAAATACACAGTTCCATTGCCCAGCTACTGAGCTAAGTGCATGTTGTGACACTGTGAGCTGTGATTTCATGTGGAATGTTTTTTGACTATGCTCAAGGTGATTTTTGTTCTTCCTTTTCACGTTCACCGGCTGTAAACTCCAGCAGAAAGTTCTGGTTGTTTGTTCACTTTTGGACTCTGGTCTTATTCCAGAACTTGAGTTTTGCATGCAGTCCATTTTTTTCCAGATATGACTTAATTGTATGCAGACTGTTGGTTCCTCGCCTCTCAGGCAGATGCACTCTCACTTCAAAAGAGTAATATATGTTTATATATATATATGTATTTAAAAAAATGGCAGGTGGCCTGTTAACTACGAAACAGGTGGTGCCTTTTACACAGTTGCATAAGCTACTTTCATCAACGATGAACACCGATGCTCACGGTGGACTGCTTGTGTTGGCACTTCAGGCAGGTGCCTTATGTATTTAGTCTCCATGTATGGTGTTGGCTTTGCCAGGACCAGTCCATTGCCCTGTTTTCAAAGGGACAGTGATGAGCATTTGTTCTCTGACATAGTAACAGCAAGAATGGCTAGTCCATTCGGAGTGAGGCTACAACTGACTCAAATCTAACATCCAACTAGACATATTTTCAGATGGCTGCAGAGTTAACCTTTCTGTCTCTGTATACTTTCTTCTTCTTCTTTTCTCTAGTTATTTAATGCCTCGCAGTGTCAAGAGCAGGAAGAGATCTCTCAACGGGCCCTTGTTTATGGTACTTTTCAGTGTCTGATATTTCTGTGTCCATCTTCTGCGTTGTAAACCTCTGGATCTATCACCTCTGTGTGTCTGTATATTGCTCTCTGTGGTGCCCTTTCTGTTGCCAATCTTGTTACATGGCCAAATGATTTGATATGCTGTCAACATTTCAAGTTCAGTATTGGTTCTCTACTGACATTTCATTTCTGTCTTTGACTATTTTTTCTTCGTCTTCTGAAGACATTGTCCATGTTTGACACTGATAGCACAGCGTTGATAAGAATATTATGTTGAACAGTGCTGTTTTGTGTTCATATTCACTTACTTGCTTTTCAGTATTGTGCCATTTGTCCTATGACTTGATTGACTTTATTGCATCTTTGTTGTATTTCTTTATTCACTCTTCCTTTTTCTGAAAAATGCTTTATGATATCAACCTTTCAAATCTTTCATTATATAGGATTGGAAGTGATGAAGATGATGATGAAGGTGATGAGGTATGGAACCTGAACGACCCAAATGAGACTGCTGTTAGCCGAGATGCCAGATTAGAAAATGGTGCCCCACAATACCCACTGGTTCCTCCACCGCCCACACGACCGGAGGCCGAGGGTGCCCGAGAAGACGGAGCAGAGAAACAGAATGTAGGCCAGCCTGCGTCACCTAAACCCACGACCTGTGGCAGGGGAGAAGAGGTGGATGGTTCCTTGAGTGGAACACACACAGCAGATGCATCACAAGTAAATGTATGTGTCACATCTATTTTTTTTCCTAGCGTTCAGTTTCATATTCTCAGGTCAGGTGGGTTGCCTCTGTGAACTTGCATGTCAGCTGCAGGTCCTTCATGGTTTCCCATAGCTGGTTCTGCACACTTTGCTCTTGAGGCCAGGTATCTCTTCCTTGTTGTAAGTATTGTTGTCAGGCCTGCAGAATGTACTCAGATGTTTGTGGTTCCCATCTGGTATACACTCTGTGGGGACTGTATAATCTTTACTTTATGCATGACATCCTCCATTCGAAGGTCTTGGGATCAAATCTGTATTGGGATGAATTTTTAAAAAATTGTTTTGGCTTCCCATCTTAAAATGTGTACCAAATGTTGTCTTTGTGTTTCCAGTTTGTCTTTGAGGGGCAAGTGTCATGTCAGCTTTTCAGTCAGTCAGTAAATCAGTTTAATGATCAGTAAATCAGTTTATTTCTTCTTCATCTTCAGATTCATTGGCTGTAAACTCCAGTGGAAAAGTTTTGGTTGTTCATCCACTTCTGGACTTTGATCCTATTCCAAAACTTGAGTTTTGCATGCACAAATACAGATCTGGCTTATTTGTATGCAGACTGTTGGCACCTCACCTCTCAAGCAGATTCACTTCAACTTTGAAGGATATACCCTTAATTATACCTTTTTAACATGCTTGTTAGATGTGGAGGGAGCAACAGGTCTCTCCCTCCCATCTTCCCTCATAGGGAAATTATTTTTTTAAAATAAATTAATAAATCAGTCAATAAGTTAGTCTTCAGTAGTTGATGTAATCATTCAGTAGTTGATGTAATCATTCAGTTAATCAGTGAAGTCAATCAGCTAGTCAGTAAGTTAATCACCCAGTAACTGAGTTCATCAACCAATCAATAAATTCATCACCCAGTCAGTAAGTTCATTAACCAGTCAATAAGTTTTACTAACCGGTCAATAAGTTTAATCAACCGGTTAATTAGTTTATTCAGCTGGTCAGTAAATTTAATGAACTGGTCAGTTAGTTTAATTAGCTTGTCAGCAAGCTAATCAATGAGTCAGTAAGTTGAGCAACCGGTCAGTAAGTTAAGTAACCGGTCAGTAAGTTAAGCAACCAATCACTGAGTTTTATCAACCGGTCAATAAGTTTAATCAACTGGTCAATTAGTTTAATCAGTTGGTCAGTAAATTTAATCAACTGGTCAGTTAGTTTAATTAGCTGGTCAGTAAGTTAATCAATGGGTCAGTAAGTTAATCAACCGGTCAATAAGTCAATCAGCCGTTCAGTAAGTTTAATCAGCTGTTCAATAAGTTTGATCAGCCGGTCAGTAAGTGAATTAACCGGTCAGCAAGTTTAATCAACTGGTCAGTAAGTTTAATCAGCGGTCAGTAAGTTTAATCAACTGGTCAGCAAGTTAATCAACCAGACAATACGTTGATCAGTCACTTAATAAATCCATCAGTCATTGTCTGGAGAAATTCTCCATCTGTAACAACATAAACCTTGGACTATTTCAGGTAAATGGATCCGCCACTGACAACACCCCCACAACCAACGAGGATCAAACCTCAGCCAGCTTCCAGGAGAAACTGACCCAACCTGCTGCTCTACCAGACTCAGCCACCCACAGCGATTCTGTGAGTGCCCCACCATCGTGTGTCATGTGTAATATTCTAGTGCTGGCCACGTGTGCTGCCGCCCTGGTGTTGTTGGGGGCCTTTGTGGCCAGTCACACCCAGCAGCAGTCCGACTAGAGGCCAGCAGAGATGGGTCAGATTCGTCATCTGTGTTGTCTGTGTGTGGATGTTGTCTGTGTGTGGATGTTGTCTGTGTGTGGATGTTGTCTGTGTGTGGATGTTGTCTGTGTGTGGATGTTTAGGTGCCGATTTGATGTTGTCTTGTTTGCTTTAGTAGTCTCCATGTCGTGCTGTTTCACTCTGAGGGAATAGTTATAGTTCAGTACTGAGAATTGGATCTAGTAGCCACTTAGTTTTAGCCAGTTATTTGTTTATGGGGGTTTCATATGATTGCCGCAGTTTTGTGGTTTGATTTAGTGGGCTTGGACATGGCTTTCATGTTTTGCGGTTTGATTTCAAGGGGCTTATTAGGCAGAGCTTTCATGTTTTAGGGTTTGATTTCATGGGCTTGGGCACAGCTTTCATGTTTTAGGGTTTGATTTCATAGGCTTGGGCACAGCTTTCATGTTTTAGGGTTTGATTTCATAGGCTTGGGCACAGCTTTCATGTTCTGTGGTTTGATTTAGTGGGCTTGTACAGAGCTTTCATGTTTTATGGTTTTGATTTAGTGGCCTTGGCACAACTTTCATGTTTTGTGGTTTGATTTAGTGGGCTTTGAAGAAATTTCATGTTTTATGGTTTGATTTCATGGGCTTGGGCACAGCTTTCATTTTCTGTGGTTTGATTTATTGGGCTTGTACAGAGCTTTCATGTTTTATGGTTTGATTTCATGGGCTTGGGCACAGCTTTCATGTTTTATGGTTTGATTTCATGGGCTTGGGCACAGCTTTCATGCTCTGTGGTTTGATTTAGTGGGCTTGTACAGAGCTTTCATGTTTTATGGTTTGATTTAGTGGGCTTGGGCTAAATGTTTTGATTTTTGTTGTTTCACTAAAGTGGCTTGGGTATAGTAGATTTTTTTGCTGTTTTAGGATTTCATTTAGGGGGAGTTAGTACAGCATTGATGTTTTGTGCTTGGATTTAGTGGTCTTGGGCACTGCATGGCTGTGTGATGGTTTCATTTAGGTGACTTGATTAAACATTTGAATAATTTGTGGTTGAATTTAGTGTGCTATTTATGGTTTCATTTTGTTTGCTTTGGTAAATATTTGATGTTTTATGGGACTTTGATACAGATTTAGTGTTGTATTGTGTTTTAGTTTAGTATTTGAAATGTTGGAGTTTCATTTAGAGGAAATAAGTGTAAATTTGATGTTTTGTCACTGCCCCTAGTGGGCTTGCCCATTGCGTTGATCTGTAGTTTCCTGCAGCGCTCTTTGATTGTGCTTTGATACAGAACGGTGATTGATATTTGCACCTTTTGGCCGACACATTCCCCGTTTTTCCTGGCATTTATTGAACTTCCAAGCAACTTATGTCAGACATGTCATGTCCGGGATTAAGCAATCATCTCTTCTTCATCTCTAACGTTCGCCGGCTGTAAACTCCCGTGGAAAGTTCTGGCTGTTTGTCTACTCCTGGACTTTGGTCTTGATCCAGAACCTGAGATATGCATGCACAGCTGTTTTGCAGATCTGGCTTGTTTGTATGCAGACTGTGGTTCAATGCCTCTGAGGCAACTTTAAAGGGAACAGCCACCTGCTAGTCAGTCGCCTTGTTAGGGAAACAGTTGTGTCTTTTCTTTGTTCTCCAGAAGAGAGCTGTGGAACAAGCATGGGGAGTTTAACAAACATGACAAGTTTTCAGTCAGGCAAGAAGTTGAAACAGTCAGCTTCACAGTGTCACAATCATGAACTGCAAATAAACATTGTGGCTAGAAAACCTTCATCAGCATATGACACAAACCAACAGTGATACAGTTACAGACTAGAATGTACACATTCACTTACTGAACCAACAAACACTTTATTTGTAATGGGTCAAGAATTTGGCACCATGCAGGTCCCGTCTTACATTCTGCCAGTTTGGCCTCACTCCTTATGTACACTGTTACATTCTGCCAGTTTGGCCTCACTCCTTACGTACACTGTTACATTCTGCCAGTTTGGCCTCACTCCTTACGTACACTGTTACATTCTGCCAGTTTGGCCTCATTTCTTACGTGCACTGTTACATTTTTCCAGTTTGGCCTCCCTCCTTTCATACACTGCTCCTTTCATACATCAGTGAGCATAATAATAACATCACCATCATCAACATCTAATTCTTGATGACAATTGTTGGGACATATATTTGTAAACAGTAATAGGCCTGGTGTAGTTAAGTATAATAAATCTGAACACAGTGTGTTTAAAACTTGGCTTTTACAGGGGCATGTAGTCTGTGCTGAGGTAATATTCAAATAGTTTGCAGTTGTATGTACAGGGGTTATTGATGTTTTTTATTATCTGTGAATCAATTTTGATGGGGGATTTGATGGCACAGATGGGCTGTAGAGAATGTTTACCTGTCAGTTAAGGTCCCTGAAATACTCCTCATGTCTGGACAGTTCCTGGTTAAAATAAGGCTGTCCTCTAGTTGAAATAGTCATTGAGATGCAAAGTATTGGGCCCTCGCACGTCATGACACATCTGGAGTGACCATTCCACTTAATTTATAGAAATTTTCTGGTAAAAAAAATTTCTAGGCTTCTTCTGTGGGTTTTGGGAGGAGGGGGGGGGGGGGGGGGGGAAGAACTGTCTCCTGTCAAAGAAGTCGACTGTTATGGATGGTTCTTCTAAAGTGGGAGTGCATCTGCCTGAGAGGCGAGGAACCAACAGTTTGCATTCAAATAAACCTGATGTGTAAAAGAGATTTGCATGCGACACTCAAGTTCTGGAACAAGTGCAGTCCAGAACTGGACGAACAACCAGAACTTTCTGCCAGAGTATACAGTTGGCAAGCACTATAAAGAACTTCTTTTTTAAAGCTGAAATGGTCTTTCCTTTCTGGTTGGAAACAGTCCTGCCACTTCTTGAGATTGAACCTGGATCATATCTCTGCAGGGAGTTAACACTAATGACTATGCCACTGTGACTCATGTGTTCAGTTTTACTGTATACACACAGATCACTGCAATTTCACCTTCCTGATGTGTTCCTCATGTCTTCAGTGTATTATATCATCCATGTTTCTTTCCTGTGAGTCACGAATTTGCTTTTATCAAATGTCCATATTTCACAAGTATATTTCCATATACCCACCTCAACCCTTTCACCTCACAAATGTCCATACGCACCTCAACCCTTTCACCCAACAAATGTCCATATGCACTTCAACCCTTTCAGCCCACAAATGTCCATACACACTTCAACCATTTCAGCCCACAAATGTCCATACGCACCTCAACCCTTTCACCTCACAAATGTCCATACACACCTCAACCCTTTCAGCCCACAAATGTCCATACCCACCCCAACCCTCTCACCTCACAAATGTCCATACGCACCTCAACCCTTTCACCTCACAAATGTCCATACACACCTCAACCCTTTCAGCCCACAAATGTCCATACCCACCCCAATTTCTCACCTCACAAATATCCATACATACCTCAACTCTTTCACCTCACAAATGTCCATACACACCTCAACCTTTTCACTTCACAAATGTCCATACACACCTCAACCCTTTCACCTCACAAATGTCCATACACACCTCAACTCTTTCACCTCACAAATGTCCATACACACCTCAACCTTTTCACTTCACAAATATCCATACACACCTCAACCCTTTCACCTCACAAATGTCCATATGCACCTCAACCTTTTCACCCCACAAATGTCCATACACACCTCAACTCTTTCACCTCACAAATGTCCATACACACCTCAACCCTTTCACGCCACAAATGTCCATACACACCTCAACTCTTTCACACGCAAATGCTTTTTTAAAAAAAGTTGGGTTGTAAATCGACGGGAATTCTAGAAAAAATGCATCACTAATGAAAATAGGTCACTAGTACATTATTTGAAAATTACATTTTTACACTGGCCTCTCCACTCCCCTTCCTAAATATAACAAAATATACAGAGGTGTAATCAATAAACACAAACAGAGTGGAGCATTCATTGGAGTACATTCCCCAGGGCCTGAAACAAATATATCTGCTGACTCATGTCATGACCTGTATCACTGAGGCTTACAGGAAGTTTTTATGTCAGCTTGGCTTTAAGATTCACCAGGAAACCCCTCCTAAATGCTATTTTTAGTTAATTGGTTCATATGTGAGTCTTCTTAGCACTGTGCGGGCACACATAGTACCATGGCGTGTAATTAGGCTTTTCGAGGACAGGTCTCTACGGACATGACGACAAATCTCTACAGAAACGACGACACATTAGCATTTACTGGACTGTGTCACAAGCAGAAGTAACTAGATGTAGTCTTCTCGGGGCAACAGGGTTAATGTGAACACCATAGAGTTACAGTCTATGGTACTAGTTGGTTAGAGTTTTGGATGGTTGGTGTTTGAATGATTGGTTGTTTGGCTGATTAATTAGTAGGAAAATTGGTTGTTTGGATAATTGGTTAGTTGGATGATTGGTGGTTTGTTTGAATGATTAGTAGGCTATTGTTTTGTTTAGTTGTTAGGTTTGATGGGTTGGCTAGTTGGTTGTGGTTTTGATATTCACCTCAGGGGAAAGAACTCTGATAATTACTAACTGACCAAGAGAAGATAACTGGATCTCTGGTTTGATTTCAGGTGGAGCTCAAGGGCCGCTACCAGGAGGAGCAGACGTCCCTGAATGGGCTCGATGCAGTCCTAGCCTCCCTGGGAGGTATGGAAGAGTTGGCTGGGGACGAGTCAACTGTCCTTGGACCAGAAGCATTTTTAAACTGATCAGTTTTGCCTTTTGGTGATCAGAAACTTGGTCTAGTGAAAGAAAGTTTATTTCAGTTATCCATATTCTTATTGTAGTTGGTAGTGGTTAGAAATTTTGATAACTGTAGTTGAATGAAACGTCTTAAATGTCTTCTTCTTTGTTTGACAAGCTAGATATTGTAAGGGCACATTTGCAAGCGAGTGAACTGTGAGGAGATACAACCAGATCATGGACAGAGGATATTGACAGAGTGAAGCTGCGAGAAGTGACCAGGGGATCTGGTCTTTGACCAGCACTCAGAGGAAAGGCGAGACAGACATACAGTCAGACTATTACTGGTGCTACTGGAATTGGGACTCTGTATTTGCTGCTGAAGATGGGGATGAAGTGCTTGTGGGAATGTCCCGAGTGCTGTGATATTGATTCCTTGATTCCAAAGAAAAAATGAACAAGAAGAAAAAGGCAAACAATAGAAGAAAGGGAAAAGCACAGAGAAGAGCTTGACAAACAGAGAAAATATTTTAATCTCCCTTACCTATTCTGTTAGCTTTCATCCTTGACCTCTGGGTCAAAGGGTCATGACTTTCAAGGTTCCTTTCTTTGATGTTCTAGTTGCATATGTCTCTTTCTCCTCCTCCTCCTTCTCTCCACCATCCAGTCTTGCAGACAGCCTGCAGATGTGTGCATTTTGTTTTTAAACATTTGCTTTCCCTAAAATTTCACACAACAAACATGTAATTTTGTTTTGATTTTGTCAACCTTCCACTGAGAATATTTCATGTGTCTTTTTTGTGTGTGCGAATGTTGAATGTGCTTGCTCTTGTAAAAAAAAGAAAGTTATTTTGTAGATGATTTGTGTTCTTTAAAAACAGTTATTTTTCGGCATGGATGCCTTCTTCTTTTTTCTTTCTTTGTGTTCACCAGCTGTAAACTCTGGCTAAAGGTTATGGTTGTTTGTCCACTTCAGGACTTTGCCTTGTTCCAGAAGTTGAGTTATGCATGTAGCTGTTTCTCATGAGTTTGAAGAGAGAGATATCCCATGAAAGGTGATGCTACATAATGTGATGAATATGTATGTTATTTCCATGATTGTTGATCATGTATTTATTTTTGGGAACAAGTAATCTAATTATCTTTTTTTTATACAAATCTACGTTATTGTATGTATATTTTGTCTTTGCTTTTGATTTTTTGAAAAGACTCGCCGATTGTTGTTGTTATATGGAAAAGTAAGTTATCTACCAGATGATCTTAAACCTGTGGCCCCACTGTAGATTCAGATAATTCCGTTGTAAGTGACATTTTCAAATCATTTAATCAATATATTTTTTCATGTGTCAATTTCATGTGTGTAGATTGTCAAAATGTCAAAACATTTCTCTTGTCATTTAAATTTTTGTGTGTGGACTATTTGTTCATGAAGCTCTTCACATTTCTCTTTCTGTTGAAAACAATTCCAGTCATTAGTTTCATAGTAATTGAACATTTCAAGTGTATGATGTATGTGTTGAGGTTAAAGGTTAAGTTAGGTTAAAGTTGAGAGGAGTTAAAGGTTAGATTGAAGTTGAGAGGATCGACTTCATTGTATGGGGTATTATCCCGTATGGCTTGGTCTTTATCTACAGAACCGCTAGCCGCCTGGCGAGAGCGCTGCAAACAGCACGAACTCCGCATGGATCTGCGCAAAGATTACCTTGGGTGAACCCAGTACCAGAGGACCATGTATTAGCTCTGCATTTGTGGAAGCCTCCTTGGATGGAGGGGAATGCTCATGTTCTGCCCCTGCCTTCTCTTGAGGACTGACCAGCATTATGTGGCTTTTCTGGATGAGCCTGATTGGGGCACCACCTGTGACCTGGGAAATAAAGATGACCACACAACAATGAGACTGTCATGTCCTAACCGGGAAGGCTAACCCGGACAACAAATGCCCGCAGAAGTCGGATGTGTTGGCCGAAAGGTGCAAATACTGCAGCCATGCTGTAAACAGACACAACGTAATTACATCTTCGGATGAACGCAGAAGAAGAAGAGCGTGAGGCAAACGGTTTGACCACTTCGCCACTTCGCCACAGAGACCCTCGAAAATGTATATAGTAATAGTTGTTTCTATCTAATCTTTATTTCTATTGTATTTTAGTTGTGTTTTACAAAAATATTTAGTTTTTAGTTTTTTTAAAGTAAGTTCTGTTTGGCACCTCCAAGAAGGTCACCTAAGTGTAGATTGGGTGATTTTTCACCCAAGTGAATTTTCAAGTTTGTTATTTGCCACTTTACTCTATGCCAAAGGCACACGTGTCAATTCTCATTCATGAAAAGAAGTTCTACTTTTCACACAGCCACACACATTTTCAGAGATCTTTCCTTGATACAAAGATTGAGCACCTAGGTGACTTGGGCACAGTTTGTGTATGAATGCTGGGCTGAGAAATATAATAAAGGGGGAACTGGAATGTTTTTTTCTTTCCTTTAAAAAAAAAAAAAATCTCTCTCATAGACAGAAGAAAATAAAAGCTGAGGTATTAATAGCTGGGAATGTTGACGAGATCATACATCAGAATCATCGAAGGACAAGACAAATGTTATTCATGGGGTATATCAAACAGAAGAGTTGAATAGAGAATTACTACATAATTTGTAAACTGTAAATGCCACGATATGGTCATTTCTGCAGTGACCTGTTCACAGAAAGCGTAGTTAAATGCCATTGGTTCTGTGTGTGCCTGCACAGGAGGCTTGGATTTGAATATATTCACTAAAAATAGATTAGAGTGGTCACGACCTGAAGGCCCCGGGGGATGGTTCATTGTGTTATTGTTTATTGATTAACTCCCTTTATATATCTTTATCTATTACAAAACTTTTTATCTTTAACAATTACAAAAGATTTTTTTTTTAAAGTAGGTAAATAAATGTTGTTAGTTATCTGTGTAAAATATTTTTTGTTTTGTTTTTTAAAGGATTTCTTTTTTGAAATTCTCACAGGTTTATAACCCATTTTTGTTAGTATTCACGACACAGAAGGGTTAAAATAGTTTGACAAAATAAAATATTATAGTATAAGCATCAACTTCATGAAAATATCCATCGACAGTGATGACTGGAGGTTGTGATGGCGATGTCTCTGCCACACCTAGCACTTGAAGAAGTTTGGCAAAAATATCAGACCTCCTTAAGCCATGTAAAGTAAAGTAAAGTTCCCTTTTCATGACTTTCGCTGCATCAGGCATATGGGCAGAGCGTCCCATATTTTTACAGACCATCAGCACTCTGTGGGTAATGTGGTCAGCATTACGCCGGCTGTCTTTACTTTCCCAGGACAGCTGGGTCGACCTGCAACGTCCCATACCACGACAAAAATCCACGCAGACTGCAGTGGGTTTTGATCGCGGTATGCGCTATTGTAAAGATTGCAACATTCTGGCCCGTTGATGTGATGTGGCTTTCAAATGCTTATTACCACACCCCCTCAAATGCCCTTTTCCTGGCTTGCTACAGAGGCTTGTTTACGAGGAGCCCTGCCAACAGCATTGCTTCCGCTTTTTTCCTGTGAAACTTTTTTGAATGATGGGGAATGAGCATAGTTGCTAGAAGTAACATTTACGGGGGTCGGGAGAGAAATGGGGGAGGGGTTACTTGCGGAAAATAACTTAATTCATAGAAATTAGGACACCAGAAGTGATAACTGGCGGCTGGGTCACAGGGTCATAAAAAGGTCACACTAAACAGTTGTTTGTTTTTAAAGCTAAGAGAGACTAACCCAATCAGTTCTCTGCCGCATTCATGTTTATTAATTACTCCGCTCTTTTGTATGCAAATAAAGACTGGTTTGGTCCATAAATGGAATTTTTATTATCTTTATTGTGATTTGTTAAAAAGAATTTCAAAGAATAGATTTTTTGGAACAACCTGAAATTACAGAAATACAGGTGTTTGTCATTGGTTTTTCTTTCTAGGTGGCCAGGGTGAATGGGTTAAATTGATTGTGCAGACCGCCGAACAGGAACTACTGTTGTAGATGCTTTGTTTCAAGTCTGTGACTCTTTGTGATGATGTTAAAAAATGTTTTTGTCCAACAAACAGTTCTGTATGTGTGTTATTTTAATTGAGACACCCTAAAAGATCTGAACCTGGAGGAAGATTGACTAGTAAACATGCATCTAGCTTGGAGGTATATCAAGCGCCACAGCAGATCGGGAAAAAATAAAATCAGAAGGCATGATGCCAGGCAAGAGGAGCCGGCCAGCACAAAGATGGGCACCAGATTTAACTGACACCTCAAGTAGAAAGGTGCACAAAGAGAGCTGGCGAGAGACCACATTTCTGTACAGGAACATGGTAGGTGTATCACAGAGGTAACAAAAACAGAATAGGTCAGAGAAAAACTGTGTTTGATAAAATGATTTTATGCAATCAATTCCTGTTATAGAGGTTAGTCAAAGAATTCTTGCATGCTATATAGAACCAGTTGTAGCATGTGGCTGGAAATCTCTTGAATCCTCCGAGATGTGGTTTCACCGAAGAAATCTTACAATTCCTTGGGCAGCCAGAATGTTTAATCCAGATGTTGTGAAAGAGACAGTCATTATTTTTGTGGCTAATGCTGGAGCTGCAGAGTGCTGAATCAAGAATCAAAATCACAGTACTTGGGACATTCCCAAAAGTGCTCTGTCCCTAATTTCAGCAGCATGCACCGAGTTCCATTTCTGGTAGCACCAGTAACAATCTTTGTTTATCCGTCTTGCCTTTTCCTTGCAGTGTTGGGCAAATCCCCTGGGCACTCCTTACAGCACCATTCTCCTCAGACTCTGAAGATCTGTTTGTGTCTCTACAGTTTCCTGGGCGTGATGTTAACCACATTGCCCACTGAGTGCTGCTTGGTCTTATAATATAGGTCTAGCCCTATGTGCCCAATAGTTTGAAGATATTGAAGGGGTCCTTTACTTTTACTTTATTTACTGTTTACTCGCCCCTCAAATGAACCTACATTTAGCATGCATCAGTTCAGAACCAATTT